AATTAGTAATTAGTAATTAGTAATTAGTATTTAGTATTTAGTATTTAGTATTTAGTATTTAGTATTTAGTATTTAGTATTTAGTATTTAGTATTTAGTATTTAGTATTTAGTATTTAGTATTTAGTATTTAGTATTTAGTATTTAGTATTTAGTATTTAGTATTTAGTATTTAGTATTTAGTATTTAGTATTTAGTATTTAGTATTTAGTATTTAGTATTTAGTATTTAGTATTTAGTATTTAGTATTTAGTATTTAGTATTTAGTATTGTTTTTTTATATGTATTTTTATTATATATAGATAAAAAATGTAATAAATTGGGCGGAAATTGTTTTATGCATCCCCAATGTTGCGGTAAATTAGTATGCAATTGGTATAGTAAATGCGATACCGATAGACGTATACCAGCCTGTCTTAATAAAACTTGTTAATAATAATAATAATTTATTAATAATAATAATTTATTAATAATAATAATTTATTAATAATAATAATTTAATAATAATAATAATTTATTAATAATAATAATTTAATAATAATAATAATTTATTAATAATAATAATAATAATTTATTAWTAATAATAATTTAWTAATAATAATAATTTAATATTATAATAATAATAATAATAATTTATTAATAATAATAATTTATTAATAATAATAATTTATTAATAATAATAATTTATTAATAATAATAATTTATTAATAATAATAATTTATTAATAATAATAATTTATTAATAATAATAATTTATTAATAATAATAATTTATTAATAATAATAATTTATTAATAATAATTTAATAATTCTATGTTTTTATTATCAATAATTAATAATAAATATAGTATCACTAAACTATTGTTTATAATATAGACAAAAATTAATAATTATTTTGCAATATTTATTTAAAAATAAATAGTACCATATTTTATAAATAATTTTATTAATTAAACTAAATATAATAAAAAATGACTAATTAATATCTTAATTTTATTTCATTTTTTTTTTTAATTTAAAATTTGAAAAATACTAAAAACAGAGTTATTTATTAAATTAATATATAATATATATTTTTCTAAAAAAATATAGTTAATAAATAGTTAATAAAATATAATATAAAAATATTACTAATAATTAATTGCTTCATACATAGTGCAAACTTAGATTATAAAAACAATCATCTATCAAAATTAACAAGTACAAATTACAAGTTCATGTTAACATTGGTTTTGATAATATTGTTTTTTTTTTGTAAAAAAAAACATAAGAAACACATTATTTTACAAATTTTTTAAATGTAATTAATTAGTTTAAATAACTATTAATTATAATATTGTATGTGATTGTGTGTGTGTATGTATGTGTGTGTGTGTGTGTGTGTGTGTGTGTGTGTGTGTGTGTGTGTGTGTGTGTATTTGTGTGTATGTATGTATATGTATGTGTTTATATGTATGTGTGTATGTGTGTGTGTGTGTGTGTGTGTGTGTGTGTGTGTGTGTGTGTGTGTGTGTGTGTGTGTGTGTGTGTGTGTGTGTGTGTAAAATATACTGTTTAACTATTGAAAAATATCTTACTGAATAAGTATATAAATAGCGATGCTTATTTAAAAAAAATATTAAACTAATTGAATTTATACAAAAAAAAATTATTATATTAGTAATTTTATATAAAAAAATTTTATATTTAAAATTTTTATTAAAATAATAATCATGATGAAACTTTATTTGCCACTATTAACAACAACAATATTATCAGTTAACATTGGTAAGTTTTATTATTTATTTATTAAGTAATAATATTTTAACAATAATATTTATATAATTATTTTTATGTTAATTACAAGTTATGTCGACACTGTTAACGGATACTAAGCCCAGTGCCGATCCCCGACATAACAATGACTACTATAAACAGTTAACTATACCCGTAATCAAGGATCAGATGCGCCAGAATATGCAATACGTCGGCCGTATGATGGACTCGGCTCAGGCTATACTGGCGGCCACTGGGCTATCGGTACCCAATATGCTGTATACGGACGCGCGTGAGTTTGTCCTGAAAACTCTGGCACCGGAAACCCTGTGCGCACTCGACGCGTGTCAATCGGAACAAAATAAGACATTGTTTGCTATGATTGCACGTGAAGTATACGGTTTCCGACATATGAGTGACAGGATATTCAAGGAACGACAGCAACAGTCGGTATTCAATACGACGGCTACCGGTGCCGACTATGAACAGGAATTGTGGACTGATTTGAAAGCTAGAGAGGAATCACTGTATCAGGCACTGACCTATATTGCCGATGTCAAGTCCCGGGGTCCCAATGGGTTTGCTTTTTTGATACCATTTCACAAAATGGTTAGTATTTTTAAAAAGATATTTAAAAATATTTAACTTAAACTTTTTAATAATTGTGAACTTAATTTTTAGAATAATTTAAAAATTTTTAGTTTTAATAATAAGTTTTTTAGTTATTTATAAGTTATTCTATATTTAATTAATAGAGTAATAATAATATAAATACTAGATATAAGTATTTAATTTATTTTCCAAACAAACATTTATTTTTTAGTATAAAAAATAATTATATAATTTTTATAATATTTGTTTTCAATAACAAAAAAATACCATATATATTTTAAATGAAAATTTAATTAGAAACTGTAAACTAATTTAATTAATTTTTACACAATTATTATTTACAAACTATTTTATTATAGTAGCAAAATAATTAAAATTTATAAAACTTTAATTTTGTCTTATTATAAGGCATACAATATATTTAATACAATCAATTTTTATTATTATTAAATTATTAATTTTTTAGTTATTATTATTTATAGATCTATACATTTTTGGTAAATGAGTTTCCCAAAATTAACCAGGCTATTCAACAATTGCCAACCAGTGATATGCGTATTAAAAATATGCAATTGCTCCTGGATGATTTCCTATTGCTCACACAAGAACCATGGTGATTTATTAAATAGTATTATAATTATAATAATACTAATAATATATTAATTTAACATTTTAATTTTTCAAGTTTTATTTTTGAAATATTATCATTTTTTTCAACAAAAATCATGTAATTTTTAATAATTTATTGAAGCATCTAATGTATATATTATATAATTATTATTTAAAATAAATTGCATTTAAAAAAAACCAAAATTAAATTAAAATTTATTTAAGTGTATATATTAAAATATAAAACTTATTTCTTAATAAATTTTAATAAATAAAATTTAGTAACTTTTATCTATGTATTATAATTTATAATTAAACTAATAATAGTTTCTTTTTATTTTAAAAATAATAAATTAAAACATAATTTTGAAATATCTCTAAATTTACTTTTATTCAATTAATTAATATATAAAACTTAAAATCATTTTTATTTATACAATTATTATCTAAAATTAAATATTTTTTAAAAAAACTAATATTATAGAAAGTACAGGTATTTTAAAATACTACTTATAAATTATTTAACATAAGTTTTTAGATTTTAAATAGTATTAATTATTTTTTTTGTGTCAAAATTTTATTAAAAAAAACATTTTCAATGCTAAAAATATAATTATATTAATATAGTTATTTTAAATAATTTGGCATATATGAATATTATAAACAAATAATTTTTAATTTTTACAAAAAAAATATATTGTTTAGATTTTTAATAATCAATTTATACTATTTTTTTAAATAAATTAATTAAAAAATTATTTATTTTTAAACTTAAGAAAAATTATTTGCAATAAATATGATATTACGTAATAGAATATATATACAGTATATTATATAATATATATAATTAATTAATTTTTTAATTTAAATTTGCTATTATTAGATATATATACTGTATATATATAAAAGGGCCTTACATTAATCTCGCACACGCGGTTTTAGCTATAATTCTTAAACAGAGTGAGATATATTAATTTTGTAAAAAGAGTATTAAAAAGTGATTTACGCGTGATATTATAAAATATTAAATTTTTAATTTTGATCACGTGATCATATTTATTCTTGGATATTTGCAAACCACTATATCAAAACCTAAACTATAAATGCCAGAATAAAATTTCACTAGTAAGATTGTAATGGCTAAACTGGAAATTTATGGGAAGAAAAAATTTTTAAAATTGGTTGCAGAATAAATTTTTTATGGCTTTTCAAACTTGTGGAAAAACACATTATATAAAATAGTCGAAAATAAAATGACGTTATTTATGGACAGTAGACACTTATTAGATAGAGATTTTAATACTAATGCTTATTCTAAAAACAAAATTTTTTTATGTCAAATATTTTTTTAGATAATCAAATTACAATAAAAAACACAGCATAGTATTTCGATAATTTAATTTTTAATTAAATTTGATTATCTAAAAATATATTTGACATAAAAAAATTTTGTTTTTAGAATAAGCAATAGTATTAAAATCTCTATCTAATAAGTGTCTACTGTCCATAAATAACGTCATTTTATTTTCGACTATCACTTTTTAATACTCTTTTTACAAAATTAATATATCTCACACCATTTAAGAATTATAGCAAAAACCGCGTGTGCGAGATTAATGTAAGGCCCTTTTATATAAAATATTTATTTTATTTTTTTTAATTATTTATTAATATCTAAATTTTTGTTTAGTTATTAAAATTAATGTATTAGTAGAAAATAAATAACTATTATTTTATTAGTCTGTTTAAAAAAAAAAATTTTATAAATAATTATTATCACTAAAAATAATGAAGTTTACTAATAAACTTGTATTATGTTTATTATTATCTGGCATCATGTTAAATGTTATACAATGGCAGCATGGTAAGTTTATATTATATATGATAATTTTTAATAATAATAATAAAAATTGGAAATTAACTTGCTGAATTTATTTATTAAAAAATAAAGTTATGGCTGATGAAGATGGCGATAATAAAGGTGGTGATGATGGACAAGGAGAAGGAGGAGGTAGTAGTGATGGACAAGGAGGAGGAGGAGGTAGTAGTGATGGACAAGGAGAAGGAAGAGGTAGTGGTGATAATAATAATGGACAAGGAGATAGTGGTGATAATGTTAAAGGAGGTGGTGATTGGCAAGAAGAAGAAGGTAGTGGTGATAATAATAAAGAACAAGGAGGTGATGGACAAGGAGGTGGAAGTAGTGGTAATAATAATAAAGAAGGTGATGATGATGATGGACAAGAAGGTGAAGATAGTGGTGAAGGAGGAGATGGTCCTATAGGTAGTAGTAGTATTAGTAATATTAAAGTTGTTTTTAAAAAATTTATTTATTTTTTACAAACAATTTTTCTTTATTTTCTATTGTTTAACTAGTTTTGGGTAAAGATACGTCTAAAAATACAGCCGATAGTAGTAGTAGTAGTAGTAGTAGTAGTAGTAATAGTAATGGCGTAGATGTAAAACTTAAAGCTGGTAAGGCTAAACAAGGTTCAGGGCCTAAAGGAGGTGCTCGACCTAAAAAAGGTGCTGGACCAAAAGGAGGTGGTGGTGTGCAAACTACAGGTAGTTAAACAAAAATATTATTAATTATTATTAAATATTATTAACTATTATTAATTATTATTAATTATTATTAACTATTAACTATTACTATTATCTATTATCTATTACTATTAACTATTACTATTAACTATTACTATTAACTATTACTATTAACTATTACTATTAACTATTACTATTAACTATTACTATTAACTATTACTATTAACTATTACTATTAACTATTACTATTAACTATTACTATTAACTATTACTATTAACTATTACTATTAACTATTACTATTAACTATTACTATTAACTATTACTATTAACTATTACTATTAACTATTACTATTAACTATTACTATTAACTATTACTATTAACTATTACTATTAACTATTACTATTAACTATTACTATTAACTATTACTATTAACTATTACTATTAACTATTACTATTAACTATTACTATTAACTATTACTATTAACTATTACTATTAACTATTACTATTAACTATTACTATTAACTATTACTATTAACTATTACTATTAACTATTACTATTAACTATTACTATTAACTATTACTATTAACTATTACTATTAACTATTACTATTAACTATTACTATTAACTATTACTATTAACTATTACTATTAACTATTACTATTAACTATTACTATTAACTATTACTATTAACTATTACTATTAACTATTACTATTAACTATTACTATTAACTATTACTATTAACTATTACTATTAACTATTACTATTAACTATTACTATTAACTATTACTATTAACTATTACTATTAACTATTACTATTAACTATTACTATTAACTATTACTATTAACTATTACTATTAACTATTACTATTAACTATTACTATTAACTATTACTATTAACTATTACTATTAACTATTACTATTAACTATTACTATTAACTATTACTATTAACTATTACTATTAACTATTACTATTAACTATTACTATTAACTATTACTATTAACTATTACTATAACTATTACTATTACTATACTAACTATTACTATTAACTATTACTATTAACTATTACTATTAACTATTACTATTAACTATTACTATTAACTATTACTATTAACTATTACTATTAACTATTACTATTAACTATTACTATTAACTATTACTATTAACTATTACTATTAACTATTACTATTAACTATTACTATTAACTATTACTATTAACTATTACTATTACTATTACTATTACTATTAACTATTAACTATTACTATTAACTATTACTATTAACTATTACTATTAACTATTACTATTAACTATTACTATTAACTATTACTATTAACTATTACTATTAACTATTACTATTAACTATTACTATTAACTATTACTATTAACTATTACTATTAACTATTACTATTAACTATTACTATTAACTATTACTATTAACTATTACTATTAACTATTACTATTACTATTAACTATTACTATTAACTATTACTATTAACTATTACTATTAACTATTACTATTAACTATTACTATTAACTATTACTATTAACTATTACTATTAACTATTACTATTTATTACTATTAACTATTACTATTAACTATTACTATTAACTATTACTATTAACTATTACTATTAACTATTACTATTAACTATTACTATTAACTATTACTATTAACTATTACTATTAACTATTACTATTAACTATTACTATTAACTATTACTATTAACTATTACTATTAACTATTACTATTACTATTAACTATTACTATTAACTATTACTATTAACTATTACTATTAACTATTACTATTAACTATTACTATTAACTATTACTATTAACTATTACTATTAACTATTACTATTAACTATTACTATTAACTATTACTATTAACTATTACTATTAACTATTACTATTAACTATTACTATTAACTATTACTATTAACTATTACTATTAACTATTACTATTAACTATTACTATTAACTATTACTATTAACTATTACTATTAACTATTACTATTAACTATTACTATTAACTATTACTATTAACTATTACTATTAACTATTACTATTAACTATTACTATTAACTATTACTATTAACTATTACTATTAACTATTACTATTAACTATTACTATTAACTATTACTATTAACTATTACTATTAACTATTACTATTAACTATTACTATTAACTATTACTATTAACTATTACTATTAACTATTACTATTAACTATTACTATTAACTATTACTATTAACTATTACTATTAACTATTACTATTAACTATTACTATTAACTATTACTATTAACTATTACTATTACTATTAACTATTACTATTAACTATTACTATTAACTATTACTATTAACTATTACTATTACTATTAACTATTACTATTAACTATTACTATTAACTATTACTATTAACTATTACTATTAACTATTACTATTAACTATTACTATTAACTATTAACTATATATTCTAAATTTAACTAGGCAATAAATGTATAAAAGCACTTGAACAATGTAGTTTTGATTATCGTTGTTGTGGTAATATGATATGCAATGAACATAAAGTACGTTGCTATGATCCGCACGGTAGTGTCCAACATCTACAAGGTCTACAACACTATAGGAATAAAAATCTAGATGATCTACCCAATAGAAATGGTAGATTAATGCACGAAAAAGGTGGCCAATGGGTAGTGGTGGTAAAGGTAGTGCTGGTAAAGGTAGTGGTAGTCGAGGTAAAGGACCTAAAGGTGGTCGAAAAAATAAGGGTTAGAGGTAATGGTCCTCTCAAAAATTATAATAATTATTATCATTATCATTATATATTTATAATAAAATATCATATGATAATATATATTAGAATTTTAAATTAATTTTTTTATCAATAAAAAAGCAATAAAAAAAATTTATGATATTTTTTTCGATAATAATATTTGATTTATAATTTGTTATAGTTTAATAACAATTAATAGTTAGTTTTTTTTATAGATTTATAATATTATTATAATTTAGTTATTTATTATTAATAAAATATGCTTATTCAATAAAATATGAAAAATTAATTAATTAATAAAATTGTTATGACACGGTCAGGGATCTATTGATGAATCCAGCTGACTGTGCCTATTGTTGTTATATACCGGTAATTAACTATCGGTAAATCAATACGCGGTACTGATTAACCGGTCAGATATGCAGCGTGGGTCGGTATGAGACCAATACTAGACTGTTAATTACTGATACACGGAGTGAGATTACCCAATAGGTCTTTGGAGGACTTCTCAGATGATATGTGTGATCACTGTGCAGTGTGGTAACCAAGTGGTGGCCAATTGATGATCCAAATCCTTGCACACGACAATCAGGTAGTGATAATACTATCGGTAAGTAGTTATCAATCGGTAAGCGTTGGCGATACTAATAGTAAACAATTAGTTATCTATCGGTAGAACTCTTGAGGTTCGGCAACAATGATAATGAAGTTAAACACAAGTTATAAGTGAAACACTTTTATTGTAATTTAATGTGAATTAAATCAATGGTTAAAATATCGGTAAAAGAGATGATAATGAATAGCACGTGTAGTGCGAGTACAGTAGTAATGAGTTGAGACTGGGCTCAGGTATGAGATATACAGTGGCACTGACTGTGATATGAGATGTGTGTACTGACTGACTGTCTGAGAGGTGTACTGACTAATGAATACAGTAGTTGTACTGTATTTATAGTCAACTGGATATACAGGTAATGAATTGGAGGGAAAGGTAGTCATTGGACTGTTTGAATATAAAACGGTTATATAGATGATGTATTGGACATTGAGGTGCCAGTGATTGGTGTCACTGACCAGGAATTACAGGTAATTGTATATTAAACGGTAAAGTAATACAAAGTGTAAATATAAGGATAAGTGAATTACACAGAAATAGGTATTAAAAATAGGATATGAATATAAAATATAAATCTAAAATTATCGGTAATTGAAGGACATATGGATGTCTTCAACAAAATAATAAAAAAAAAATTTTTATTTCCTAAATATTTATTATTAGTTCTTTGTTGTTGTGGAAAATTAAAAATGAAGTTTATTATTAATTTTTTAATTATATTATTTATCATAATCATCCTATTGGATAATATAATATGGCATCAAGGTAAATTAATAATGGACAAAATTTATTTATATATATATATAATTATATTATAAAAAAATTTAGTATAAATGTTTTAAAATTAATTAATTAATTATTAGCACTGTGATAATAGTATTTAAAATAATATTCAAGGTAAATTGATTTCATTTTTTTACAATTTATTAGTAGTATGAAAATATTTAATTAAAGTAAATAATAAAGTAATTAGTAATTAGTAATTAGTAATTAGTAATTAGTAATTAGTAATTAGTAATTAGTAATTAGTAATTAGTAATTAGTAATAGTAATAGTAATACTAATACTAATAGTAATAGTAATTAGTAATAGTAATAGTAATACTAATACTAATAGTAATAGTAATAGTTATAGTAATAGTAATAGTAATTAGTAATTAGTAATTAGTAATAGTATTTTAACATGAGGCAAAATTATTTGACACACATTTTATATATTAATATATATAGTATATACAGTACTTATATCTTGATATTATATAATTTTATACGTAATCTACTTAGTATTGTTCAATATAATGCTAATATATATTATATATATAAGTTAGTGTATATACATAAATTATATATATATATATACTGTATATATATATATATATATATATATATATATATATATATATATATATATATATATACTGTATAATTATAGATACAAAATGTAATAAATTGGGCGGAAATTGTTATATGCATCCACATTGTTGCGGTAAATTAGTATGCAATTGGTAAATGCCATACAGATAGACGTATACCAGCCTGTCTTAATAAAACTTGTTAATAATAATAATAATAATAATAATAATTTAATAATAATAATTTAATAATAATAATTTAATAATTATAATTTAATAATTATAATAATTTAATAATAATAATAATTTTAATAATAATAATAATAATAATAATAATAATAATAATAATAATAATTTAATAATTTAATAATTATTATTATTAATTATTATTATTAATTTTGAACATAATTTTTTATTTTAAATTTATTAGTCAAATATACTGTAATTATTTATTTATTTTGTTAATAATAATATTTAAATTAATAATAAAAAGAGTATCACTAAACTATTGTTTATAATATAGACAAAAATTAATAATTATTTTGTAATATTTATTTCAAAATAAATAAAACCATATTTTATAAATAATTGTATTAATTAAACTAAATATAATACAAAAATGACTAATTAATATCTTAATTTAAGTTTGCAATTATTTTATAAGTTTTATTTCAATTATTTAAAAAAATAATTAAATAAAAAATGCATTGTTTCACTAAAACTCACTAAAAATTGACTTATTTATTAAATTAATATATAAATATAGTTTTCTAAAAAAAATTATAGTTAATAAATAGTTAATAAAAAATATATAAAAAATATTATTAATAATTAATTGCTTCACACATAGTGCAAACTTAGATTATAAAAACAATCATCTATCAAAATTAACAAGTACAAATAATAAGTTCATAAAAACATTGGTTTTGATAATAGTATTTTTTAAAATCATAGAAAACACATTATTTTATAGATTTATAAATTTAATTAATTAGTTTAGATAACTATTAATTATAATCTTGTATGTGTGTGTATGTGTATGTGTGTGTGTGTTTGTATGTGTGTATATGAGTGTGTATGTGTGTGTATATATGTATATGTATGTGTTTATATGTATGTGTGTGTGTGTGTGTGTGTGTGTGTGTGTGTGTGTAAAATATACTTTATGTGTTTATTTATGTGTATGTGTGTATATGTGTGTGTATGTATGTGTTTGTATTGTATATGTATATATATCTATATATGCGTGTGTTTGTGCTGTGTGTGTATGTGTAAAAATATACTGTTAAAATTTTCAAATAATCATATAAATAGCGATGCTCATTTAGTAAAAAAATAATATTAAACTAATTGAATTTATCAAACAAAAAAAAATATAAATATAATATTATTTTAATAATATTATATAATAATCTTATTGTTTAAAAATGATGAAAATGTATTTGTCACTATTAGCAACAACAATATTATCAGTTAACATTGGTAAGTTTTATTATTTATTTATTAAGTAATAATATTTTAACTCTAATAATAAAAAAAAATATTTTTTTGTTAACAAATCATATATTATAGTTATGTCGACACTGTTAACGGATACTAAGCCCAGTGCCGATATCCGACATAACAATGACTACTATAAACAGCTAACTATACCCGTAATCAAGGATCAGATGCGACAGAATATGCAATACGTCGGCCGTATGATGGACTCGGCTCAGGCTATACTGGCGGCCACTGGGCTATCGGTACCCAATATGCTGTATACGGACGCGCGTGAGTTTGTCCTGAAAACTCTGGCACCGGAAACCCTGTGCGCACTCGACGCGTGTCAATCGGAACAAAATAAGACATTGTTTGCTATGATTGCACGTGAAGTATACGGTTTCCGACATATGAGTGACAGGATATTCAAGGAACGACAGCAACAGTCGGTATTCAATACGACAGCTACCGGTGCCGACTATGAACAGGAACTGTTGGCTGATCTCAAGGCTCGGGAGGAATCACTGTTTCAGGCACTGACCTATATTGCCGATGTCAAGTCCCGGGGTCCCAATGGCTTTGCTTTTTTGATCCCATTTCACAAAATGGTAAGTTATTTTAATTTTTAATTTATATTATATTATTAATTTACCTTTAAAAATAAAATATTTTATAGTTTTTTAGTCATTTAAATAATTAGTTATTAAAATATTTTAGTTTAATTAAATTTTAATTATTATTTTTCATAGCTTTATTTTATAAGTTAAAATTTTTGCATAGTTATTACATATTACAATAAATATTTTATAACTTATTAGAAATTGTAAATAATAAATTTTGATAAAAATAAGTTAGCTAAATTTATTAAATTAATTAGATTTATTAAATTCTAGTTTTTATTAATTAAATTTTGTGTTTATTAAATTTTATTATTTTTATTTTTTAATTATAGATCTATACATTTTTGGTAAATGAGTATCCCAAAATTAACCAGGCTATTCAACAATTGCCAACCAGTGAATTACGTATCAAAAATATGCAATTGCTCCTGGATGATTTTCTATTACTCACTCAAGAACCATGGTGATTTAGTAATATTATAATTATAATAATATTAATGATATAGTCATTTAATTTTGAATTTATATTTTATTTTTGAAAGTATTATCATTTTTTCTTTAAAAACATTTAATTTTTAATAATTTATTGAAGCATCTAATGTATATATTTTATTAATTTTTAATTAAAATAAATTGCATTTAAAAAAACAAAAAAAACAAAAAAAAACTAAAATAAAATTTATTTAAATATATTTAAATGTACATAATAAATACGGAATTAATTTCAAATAAATTTTTATAATTGCAATTTAGTAACATTTATATATGTATTAAAATTAAACTAATACTTTAATTTAAACAAAAGTAGAAAATATAATTTCTATCTATTTTAAAATAAAAAGTAAATAAAAAATTATTTTGAAATATAACTAAATTAATTTTATTGAATTAATTAATATTAAATTCTTTAATCTGTTTTTATTTATTGAATTATTAACAAAAATAAAATATTATCACAAAACTAGTATTAAATCAACTATTTTAAAATATAGTTAATTATGATTTTTTTAATCTACTAATACTATTAGTAGATTGTTAATTAAAATATCAATAATATACAGGTAATAGTAATATAGATTAATTAAAAATTAATTAATTATCTAGCTTAAATATAAGCATAAATTTATGGTTAAAAAAATATATTATTATATATTATAAAAATTAATCCATCCACATATAGTGCACAACTTGATTATATAAACAACATCAATCATTTATCAATTTTTAATTAAAATATTAAAATCAATTAATCAATTTATCAAGTTCAAATGTTCATATGATCATAGTATTTTGATAATGTTGTTATTATTGAAAAATCATAGGAACACACATTATTTTTATGCTAAAAAATATAATTAATAGTTAAAATAAAAAATAGCTATTAATTATTATTTTAATAAAACTACTACTAATAGTAATGTGTAAATGTATGTATGTATGTGTATAATTATGTGTGTGTGTGTATGTGTAAAATAGTAATTAAAAAATATCTGGCTAAATAATCATATAAATAGCGATGCTCATTTAGTTTTAAAATTATTAAACTTAAATGATTTAATCATATAAAAAATAAATATTATTTTATTATTTTTTAATATACAGTTTTAATTTAAAAAGTAATATAGTAATAACCATGATGAAAATCTACTTGACACTATTAACAACAACAATATTATCTGTTAATATTGGTAAGTATTTTATTTTTTAATGACTAACTTACCAAATAATAAATATGTATTTATTTAATTAAAATACTTATAATTTTTTTATAACTTATGTAATACTAGTTATGTCGACACTGTTGACGGATACTAAGCCCAGTGCCGATCCCCGACATAACAATGACTACTATAAACAGCTAACTATACCCGTAATCAAGGATCAGATGCGCCAGAATATGCAATACGTCGGCCGTATGATGGACTCGGCTCAGGCTATACTGGCGGCCACTGGGTTATCGGTACCCAATATGTTGTATACGGACGCGCGTGAGTTTGTCCTGAAAACTCTGGCACCGGAAACCCTGTGCGCACTCGACGCGTGTCAATCGGAACAAAATAAGACATTGTTTGCTATGATTGCACGTGAAGTATACGGTTTCCGACATATGAGTGACAGGATATTCAAGGAACGGCAACAACGATCGGTGTTCAATACGACTACCGGTGCCGCCTATGAACAGCAACTCTGGACAGATCTTAAGGCTCGGGAGGAATCACTGTTTCAGGCACTGACCTATATTGCCGATGTCAAGTCCCGGGGCCCGAATGGCTTTGAATTTTTGATCCCATTCCACAAAATGGTAAGTTATTTATAGTTTTTTTTTGTCATTTCAAATATTTCAATAGATATTAATATATTTAACTTTATTTTAATTTTTATAATTATTATTCATAACTCAAAATATAATTTTAAAAACTATTTTTACACTAAATTTTTATTAGTTTAAATTTTTGAGTAGTTATTTTAATGAATTAGTAAAAAAATATTGTATAATTTATTAGAAATTGTAAATAATAATTTTGTTTTTTATAAAAAAAAGGTAGCTAAATTTAATAATTTATTTATATTTTTATAAATTCTAGTTTTTATTTATGAAATTTTATTTAATTAATTTTATGTTTTTTTTTATAGATCTACACATTTTTGGTAAATGAGTATCCCAAAATTAACCAGGCTATTCAAAAATTGCCAACCAGTCAATTACGTATCAAAAATATGCAATTGCTCCTGGATGATTTTCTATTACTCACTCAAGAACCATGGTGATTTAATAATATTATTATAATATTAATAATATATTAATTTAACTTTATGAATTTATATTTTATTTTTGAAAGTATTATCATTTTTTTCTTTAAAAACAATAATTTATTGAAGCATCTAATGTATATATTTATTATTTTTATTTTTAAATAAATTGCATTTTAAAAAACCAAAACTAAAATAACATTTATTAAAATTTATTTAGTATTTCAAATTAAAATATGAAATTAATTAAAATTTAGTAACATTTATGTATGCATTATATTAAAACTAATACTTTAGTTTAAAATAAAGTAAAAAAATATATTTTATGTTTATATTTCAAATAAAAATTATAAAATAATTTTTAAATATAACTAAATTTACTTTATTCAATTAATTAATATAAAATACTTTAATCAGTTTTTATTTATTCAATTATTATATAAAATAAACTATTCTATAATAACTATTATTAAAGAAAATTTTCAAAATATTTTTAATTAATTATTTTTTAATTAATTACAAATTTAACTAATTAAAATACAATTAAATTCTTTTTTTCCAAAAAAATATATAAATATAATTTGCAAAATTTAAAAATATTATTAATAAAACTGCTATTTTATTTTTAAATTAATCTTTTATCCAATATAGCTCCAATATAATAACTAATAAATAAATATATATGGTTTTAAACTATTACTATTACATTGTTTAATAAAAATATCTATTACTAAAATTATAATCAATAAAAGAGACAATTTTTATTTAAAATTATTTTTACATGTATTTGAATTAAATCTGAGTATTAGTATAATATATTCAATAGATTAAATAATATTTAAGTAATTATCTAGCATAAATTAATGTTTTAAAAAAAACAATATTTATTTTATTTATTATAAAAAAAAAATAATTCATATACATATAGTGCACAACTTGATTATATAAACAACATCAATCATTTATGAAATTTTTATTAAAATTAAAAAATTAATTTATCAAGTTCAAATGTTCATATGATCATAGATTTAATAATATTGTTTGAATAAAAAAAACATAGGAAACACATTATTTTTATGCTAAAAAATATAATTAATAGTTAAAACAAAATAGCAATTAATTAATATCTAAGTAAAAGTACTACTATTAGTAATGTGTATGTATTATGTGTGTGTGTGTGTGTGTGTGTGTGTGTGTGTGTGTGTGTGTAAAAATATCTGGCTAAATAATTATATAAATAGCAATGCTCATTTAGTTTAAAAATTATTAAACTTTAATGATTTTATCATTAAAAAAAATAAATATTATATTATTTTTTAATATATTAATCTAAAAAGTAATACAATATTAATAACCATGATGAAAATCTACTTGACACTATTAACAACAACAATATTATCAGTTAACATTGGTATGTATTTTATTTTTTATTGAATAACTAACCAAATAATAAATAAGTATTTATTTAATTAAAATACTTATAATTTTTTTTATAACTTATATAATTCTAGTTATGTCGACACTGTTAACGGATACTAAGCCCAGTGCCGATCCCCGACATAACAATGACTACTATAAACAGCTAACTATACCCGTAATCAAGGATCAGATGCGCCAGAATATGCAATACGTCGGCCGTATGATGGACTCGGCTCAGGCTATACTGGCGGCCACTGGGCTATCGGTACCCAATATGCTGTATACGGACGCGCGTGAGTTTGTCCTGAAAACTCTGGCACCGGAAACCCTGTGCGCACTCGACGCGTGTCAATCGGAACAAAATAAGACATTGTTTGCTATGATTGCACGTGAAGTATACGGTTTCCGACATATGAGTGACAGGATATTCAAGGAACGACAGCAACGATCGGTGTTCAATACGACTACCGGTGCCGCCTATGAACAGCAACTCTGGACAGATCTTAAGGCTCGGGAGGAATCACTGTTTCAGGCACTGACCTATATTGCCGATGTCAAGTCCCGGGGACCGAATGGCTTCGAATTTTTGATCCCATTCCACAAAATGGTAAGTATTTTATAGTTTTTTTTGTCATTTAAAATATTTTAATAGATATTATAAAATATTTAACTTTATTTTAATTTTTATAATTATTATTCATAACTCAAAATATAATTTTAAAAACTATTTTTACACTAAATTTTTATTAGTTTAAATTTTTGAGTAGTTATTTTAATGAATTAGTAAAAAAAAAATATTGTATACCTTTTTAGAAATTGTAAATCATAATTTTGTTTTTTATAAAAAAAGGTAGCTAAATTTAATAATTTATTTATATTTTTATAAATTCTAGTTTTTATTTATTAAATTTTATTTAATTAATTTTATGTTTTTTTTATAGATCTACACATTTTTGGTAAATGAGTATCCCAAAATTAACCAGGCTATTCAAAAATTGCCAACCAGTCAATTGCGTATCAAAAATATGCAATTGCTCCTGGATGATTTCCTATTGCTCACACAAGAACCATGGTGATTTTAGTATAATTATTATTATAATAATACTATTAAAATATTAATTTAATTTTGAATTTTTATTTTATTTTTGAATTATGATTTTTTATTTTAAAACATATAATTTTTAATAATTTATTGAAGCATCTAATGTATATATTTTATTATTTTTGATTTAAATAAATTGCATTTACAAAAAAACCAAAAATAAATTATCATTTATTTAAATTGATTTAATTTAAATACTAAAACATTAATACTATTTAGATATTTATTATATTTCAAATAATACTTTTATTTAAATTAAAGTAGAAAATATACTTTATGTTTGTATATTAAAAAAAATAAATAATTTTGATATATCTCAAAATTAACTTTATTTAATTAATTAATATAAAAATACTTTTTTGAACATGACTTTTTTATTTACTATCTATTTAAAATTGATTTAATTTACATATGCTCCTGGATGATTTATTATTGCTCACTCAAGAACCATGGTGATTTTAGTATAATTATAATAATAATATAATATTATTATAATTTTTGTTGAATTTTATTTTTCAAAGTATTATCATTTAATTTTAGAAATAACATGTAATTTGTTAATTATTTATTAAAGCATCTATGTATATAAATTTTATTATTTTAATTATTTATAAATTGCATTTAAAAAACCAAAACTAAAATAACATCAAATTTAAATTTAAAATTAAATGTACATATTTAAAAAAAATTAAAAGTCGTGGTAATTAAGATTATAATAGTTTTAATTAAAAAAAAATTAATAAAATAAAAATTTATTTTTTAAATTTTTTTAGATCACTAAAAATTTACCATATTTATTTTTATATAAATATATATTAATATTAAATATAGTTTAACAAAAACATAATAATTATTAATAAATAGTTAATAAAAAATAATTTTTTAAAAAATATAATCAATTGCTCAACAAATTCATTGCAAACTTCATATAAACATTGGTATTGATAATAAAGTTAAGTTTTTAAATAAAAAATAAGAAAACACATTATTTTATAGATTTTTTTAAAAAATGTTAAAATAACTATTAATTATAAACGTGTGTGTGTGAAATATACTGTATAAGTATTTTTTAAAAATATATCTGGCTAAATAATTATATAAATAGCAATGAATAAGTTTTAATAATTTAAATTAGTAGAAAATAATTATTACTCATTACTATTTTATAGTAGTATCATAATTTTAAATTAAAAATTTATCGAAATATTTATATTTTTTTGTTTTTACTAAAACTACCATAATGAAGCTAGTAGTATTTTTATTATTATTTTGTTTCATGTTAAATGTTATACTATGTCAATATGGTAAGTTTCATTAATTATTTTATCATTATTAATATATTGAAATTGAAATTAGCTTGTTAAATTGTTGTAAATTTTGATTATAAAGTTAATGCTGATGATGATGATGGACAAGTAGATGGAGGTAACGGTTCCGATGAAACTAGTGATGGAGGTAACGGTTCCGATGAAACTGGTGATGGAGGTAACGGTTCCGATGAAACTGGTGATGGAGGTAACGGTTCCGATGAAACTGGTGATGGAGGTAACGGTTCTAATGAAACTGGTGATGGAGGTAACGGTTCCGATGAAACTAGTGATAGAGGTAACGGTTCCGATGAAACTGGTGATGGAGGTAACGGTTCCGATGAAACTGGTGATGGAGGTAACGGTTCTAATGAAACTGGTGATGGAGGTAACGGTTCCGATGAAACTGGTGATGGTGATGGACAAGGAGTTGTAGATACTAAAGGTAAGATGATGATAGTTGTTTTAATTTAATTTAAAATTTATGAAAATTAACTACACAGGCAATAAATGTATAAATCAACTTGAACAATGTAGTTTTGATTATGTATGTTGYGGTAATATGATATGCAATCCTATCTATACCAGATGCTATACTCCAGGTTATCTACAACATCATCTAGCTCTAAATCGTTTTAGACCAATGAATCTTGATGATCTACCCAATAGAAATGGTAGACTAATGGCCGAAAAAGGTGGTCCAATGCCTAGTAGTAGTATAGGTAGTGATGGTAGTGGTAAATGAGCTTGTAGCAGAAAAACAATGGCTAAAAGTTATAATAATTAATTAATTAATTAAAATATTAATATATTAATACTTTTCCAAACAAACAAAAAATTGTATTGATTATAATTATGAAATATTAAAAAAATTAACTTTATTAATACTGTAAACTGTTTAAATTAATTATTTGAGATAACTATTAATTATAATTATAATTATATATGTATGTGTATGTGTATGTGTATGTGTATGTGTATGTGTATGTGTATGTGTATGTGTATGTGTATGTGTATGTGTATGTGTATGTGTATGTGTATGTGTATGTGTATGTGTATGTGTATGTGTATGTGTATGTGTATGTGTATGTGTATGTGTATGTGTATGTGTATGTGTATGTGTATGTGTATGTGTATGTGTATGTGTATGTGTATGTGTATGTGTATGTGTATGTGTATGTGTATGTGTATGTGTATGTGTATGTGTATGTGTATGTGTATGTGTATGTGTATGTGTATGTGTATGTGTATGTGTATGTGTATGTGTATGTGTATGTGTATGTGTATGTTAACTATTAATAATAGCTATAATAACTAACTATAAATTATATTAATTACTATTAATTATAATTTTATGTGCGTAGGTATATATTTGTGTGTTATTAAAAAACAGGAAATAGTAATTAATTATTATCTTATTAAAAGTAGTATAATAGTAATGAGTATGTATGTGTATGTGTGTGTATTTGTGTGTATATGTATGTATGTATGTATGTGTGTGTGTGTGTGTGTGTGTGTGTATGCGTGTGTGTATGTGTGTGAGTGTTTGTTTGTAAAATAGTATTAAAAAAATATCTGGCTAAATAATCATATAAATAGCCAGGCTCATTTCAGTTAAAATATTATACTTTTAATGATTTTATCTTTAAAAAATAAATAAATATTATATTATTTTTTTTTAAATATATTAATCTAAAAAACTAATATAATAATAATAACAATGATAATGAAAATCTACTTGACACTATTAACAACAACAATATTATCAGTTAACATTGGTAAGCGATTTATATTTTTTTATTGAATAATAATTTATTTAATTAAAATACTTATAATTTTTTTTTAATTATATATTAATAACATATAATATATATAGTTTTGTCGACACTGTTAACGGATACTAAGCCCAGTGCCGATCCCCGACATAACACTGACTACTATAAACAGTTTACTATACCTGTAATCAAGGATCAGATGCGACAGAATATGCTATATGTGGCCCAAATGGTAGACTCGGCTCAGTCTATACTGGCGGCCACTGGGCTATCGGTACCCAATATGCTGTATACGGACGCGCGTGAGTTTATACTGAAAACATTGGGACCGGAAACTCTGTGCGCACTCGACGCGTGTCAATCGGAACAGAATAAGACATTGTTTGCTATGTTTGCACGCGATTCGTACGGTTTCCGACATATGAGTGACCGGATATTCAAGGAACGACAGCAACGATCGGTGTTCAATACGACAGCTACCGGTGCCGCATACGAACAGCAACTGTGGACAGATCTCAAGGCTCGGGAGGAATCACTGTTTCAGGGACTGTCCTATATTGCCGATGTCAAGTCCCGGGGTCCAAATGGCTTCGTATTTTTGAGCCCATTCCACAAAATGGTTAGTATTTTATTTAGTTTTTATTTTTAAGATAAAAATTTCATAATATTTTTTTTTAAAAAAAAAATATTTTTAAACTTTTTAATAGTTTTGAACTTAATTTTTTTAGAATTAATTTTTTAAACAACAAGTTTATTACAAATGAAAATATAGTCTAATTATTTAAATATTTATTATTAAATTTTTTTTTTTTAAATTAGAAACWATTTTTACTGTTAAATGTAGAAAAATATAACTAAATATATTTTTTAAAAAAAATAATTAATAATTTTCTTAAATATTATTAATTATAAATATATCAAAATATATTTATTTTATTTTTTATTAAAAAATWATTAATTAGAAACTATTTTTAYTGTTTAATATAGAAAAATATAACAAAATATATATTTAAAAAAATAATTAATAATTTTCTTAAATATTATTAATTATAAATATATCAAAATATATTTATTTATTTTATTTATTTTTTTTAATTATAGATCTATACATTTTTGGAAAAAGAGTTTCCCAAAATTAACCAGGCTATTCAACAATTGCCAACCAGTGAATTACGTATAAAAAATATGCAATTGCTCCTGGATGATTTACTATTGTGCACTCAAGAACCATGGTGAATTTAGTATTATTATAATTAGTATTATTATAATATACTTATAATATTTTWATTTTGAATTTTATTTTRAAGTTTTTTGAAGTATTTTAAAAAAACATTTAATTTTTTTTAATAATTTATTAATTTATTGATGCATCTAATATATACAGTATATATCTATTATTATTATTTTTTTTTTTAATTAAATAAATTGCATTTTTAAAAACCACAAAAATAGATATATAAAATTTTTTTAAAAATTAAAATTACTAATTTTTTTTGAATAATTACTATTTAATAATATACAGTGTATATTAATAATTATTATATAATTAATAAGTTATAATTCAATTTATTGAAGCATCTAATATATTAATAAATATATATGTTTTAATAATTTTTAATTAAATATAAGCTAAAATAACATTTATTTAAAATTTTTTAACAAAAAAAACATATTAAAATAAATATTAATTAAATTCATATTAAAATTTTTTGATTTTTTTTAATAATTAATATTTTATAATATAGATTTTACAAATTAATAATTTATAGTTTATTTTGTATTTAAATAAATTTAAATAATTTATTTAAAATGTAGATCATCCACATCAAAATTGATGTAAAATAAATTGCTTGTTCAATTGATAGTTGATAATAATTGTTCATTGGATAATAATAATAAATAAGCAATCTAGCTAGTTCAATTATTGGTGCATAGGTTCTGTGTGTATAATAAATAAACAATTAATAATTTTTTAATTAAATAAAATATTTAAATACTTTAAAATACTTTAAAAATACTTTACTTTAAAATACTTTTAAAAAATATTTAAATAATTGATTTTTTTTTAAAAATAAATAAATATTACTTGTTATCCAATATAGCACCGATTGATGTTAGAAATAGATAAGTCCATAGATATTTTACCATGATCAATTTGATATTCTAGTAGTAAAGTTTTTTTTAGTAAAAATAAATAATTTTTAATTAATTTTATTTTAATAAAAAATAATTAAAATTCAATTACCATTGATTCTCTACCATTCAATACCATAAATATATCCATTGATATCATTAGTAAATGTACAGTAATATACAGATACATATACCAATGCATTCGATAATTTAGATTGTATAGTTTATTGAACTCAAAATTATGTTGCTTAATTTTATCATCCATATCTACTTGATCAATATTATTATTATCAATATAGGGCATTGACCATGATGGTTTATTGAATAGGGAATGCCATTTATTTGATAGACTAGTTGGTTGACCCGGGTAGTTAGTTGAAAATTTTTCATAGATTAACCCGAAATAATAGACCGATTGACGGGTAAAATCATAGGTAACGGGAGGTTTATGAACCAATCCGTAGACAACCGGTTCATCGGGTCGTTCCCGAACATAGGTACCAAACCAACGATCCCATACAGATAGTACGGAACCATAGTTACGGTCTAAACAATATTCATTGCTACCGTGATGTACGCTATGATCGCCCGGTGCTATCATCACTAAATCCAACCAACCATAGGATTTCCATAGGCTAGTATGCAATGTAAACTGATAGACGATAATAAATTCGAGGACATGTATCAATGTCGGGCCAGGTATGAGCACCGATAGCCATACGGTTGCAAACTGTGCGAAAATAATATAGATTAATATAATCAATAAAATAAATAGTTAGCTAGCTTAATTTTTTTAAGATTATACATAAATGTTTTATTATTTAATATATATATTAAAATAATATATAACATCAATAATACAAAATCAACTAAATTTTTGAATAATTTTTTTAAAAAAATTACTAAATTTTTCTAGAATTTAAGTCAAAAAAAAATAAATAAATAAATATTTTTTTCTAATGTAAACATTAATGTCTTTTTTGTTTAATATCGTTTTATATGTGTTATAATTAATTTGTTTTTTAAAAAAAACTATTAATAATAATAAGTTAAATAAATAAATTTGTTTTTTATAAATATATTTTTTTTGTTTAACTATATTTTACTACTAATTAATTATTAATTAATAACAATAATAAATAATTACCGCTAATAATACATAGTTGGCTTCGGTAGCCAACGTACGACTGGCCACCGATAGATTATAATCTTCGCCGCTATGATGAAACTGATGGGTTGCCCAAAACACGTTGATTTCATGCCCAGCCCTATGGCACCAGTAGAATAGAAAATCGACCATGATAAATGTACAGATTATCATTGAATAATAGCCAATTAAACTAGACTGGGCGGTCGATTCTGTCAAATTAACTAGGACGTAATTTGTGTTCAGCCATTGGCAACATGTTGAAAATAATTTTAGCATTAATGATCTATAGGGGGGGGGAGGGAGGGGCGGATGGGTTGGGGCGGAAAATTTAAAATTATTATTAGTATTATAATTATTATTAGTTTTATAATTATCGTTAGTATTATAATTATTATTAGTTTTATAATTATTATTATTATTAAGTATTATAATAATAATAATACTATTTATAATACTAATAATAATACTAATAATAATACAAATAATTTAGTAGTATTATTATTAGTATTATTATTAGTATTATTATTTGTATTATTATTAGTATTATTATTAGTATTATTATTAGTATTATTATTAGTATTATTATTAGTATTATTATTAGTATTATTATTAGTATTATTATTAGTATTATTATTAGTATTATTATTAGTATTATTATTAGTATTATTATTAGTATTATTATTAGTATTATTATTAGTATTATTATTAGTATTATTATTAGTATTATTATTAGTATTATTATTAGTATTATTATTAGTATTATTATTAGTATTATTATTAGTATTATTATTAGTATTATTATTAGTATTATTATTAGTATTATTATTAGTATTATTATTAGTATTATTATTAGTATTATTATTAGTATTATAATTAGTTTTAGTATTATTTTTTTTAAATACCTAATCAAAATCAATAATAATCCCGATATTAGATTGAATATGGTTTCCGATGTTCGCATATAACTAACAGTTTTTAGTCGCAACAAAAATTCCCCGACAATGGCCAACATAAATACGGGATAGACCTAGTTGATTTTTTTATAAAAAAAATAAATAAATATAGATTAATTTAAATATAAACTTGATATTAATTTATATAAAAAAATATATATTACTTTTGCCTCATAGTTATTGGCAATACTCGATAATTGCAAATAGTTTAACATTATTTAAATAATTTAATTAAATAATATTATTATTATAAATTTTATATAATAAAAACTGTTTAAAAATGTTATTAATTAAAAAATTATTATAATAAAAATTTTTATATATAATAAAAACTGTTATTAATTTTAAATATTATTATTATTATTAAAAATTTTATTTAATAAAAAGTTTTATTGTAAAATGTTATTAAATAAAAAAAATAATTAAATAATTTTTTAGTTTTATCTTAAAAGTTTGTTAATCCTTATATATATATATTTTAAACAAACAAACTTCAACAAAAAAAATGTTATTTAATTTATTATTTATTTATAATAATGTAATCACACTAATCGATAATACTAATTGAATTTAATAAATAAAATAAATAAATATATTATTAATTAAATATATGATTAACAGTTTATCTGTAAATTTATAATATATTTATATTATAATAAATATTTACTGCTAAATACTATTACACTATTAAACAGTAAACAGTGTTTATTGTAATTTTAATAAACAATTAAAAAACATTAATAAAAATAATCACTGTATATTATAACTGATGATAATTATTCAACTCAAACATAAAAATTATTTAATATAATAATTATATTATAAACATTTAATTGTAAAAAAATATTGCAAAATCATAAAACAATTTTTTTGTTGAAAAATAAATTACTAAGAAAACAATTTTTTTTTTTGATTATTAAAACTTAAATGTAATAAAACAATTTTTTTTAAAATAAATGATCATGTAATTTTTTTTATAAAAAAATATTATCATAATCATTAGTAGTGTTTTATGTTTTTGAATAAAACAATTTTTTTTTTAAAAATCATATTTAAATATAACTAAACACAATATATTATATTACAGGATATAATTATTTATTAAAATAATAATATTACAATTATTTTTTAAAAAAAAATAATGGATTCAATTTACTTATATAATATAAATATTAGTATTTTTTCAATACATTTATTAACTAAAAAAACAATAATATTTTATTACTGATATAATATTAATAATATCAGTAATAATAATAATATAATACATTATATTATATTACGTTAGGATCAGTAAAAAACATAATGTTTTTCTATTATTAGATATTTGAGTTGTTTTTATAAAAATAAATATAAATTATATTATTAGATATATATATGTATATACTGTATATTAGACATGTATCTAAAAATATATTAGTTTAAAATATATATATACAAAAAAAATTTTGTCGTTCAAACAAAAAAAAACATTTAAAATATTTTCTAATTAAAAAAATTATTATTTGTGTGGGTTTTATTTAAATAATAATATATTTTTTTAAAAAATATCTAAATAATAAAATTATTAATAATTTTATTGTTAATACAATTAATTTTTTAAACTTTTAAATATTTCCATAAAAATTAATAAAATAAAAATTCAAATATCATATGATTATAAAAAAATTTTTCATTAGTATAGCATATCTATTAACAATAATAATAATAATAATATTTAATTACAAATAACTACTAATATTTCATATAAAACATTGACAATGACAATGTTAAAAAAAATAATATAAAATATTTTTTTTTGATTGTAATTAAATAATTATTATAACTGATAATAATTATTAGTTATCAATAATACTAATAAAATTATAAGATATATAATGTAAATGTAGAAAATGTTTTTATTAAATGCTAGATTCAAAAAAATAAATAAATAAATTGTTTACAAAATTATATTGAAATTAAAAAATAAATAAATAAAAAATAGTTGCGTCAATAACTATGTATTTATATATTACATCAATTTATAGATAAATATATATATATTTAAAAAAAAATATATTTACAACATGTTTGTAGTAGTAATAGTAGTATAAATATTAATTTATTAATTATTTATAATATTAATTATTTATATATATATATACATCTATATATATAAAGTATAAAACATTTTTATGAATTCAATGTAAATATTACATAGTTTAACAATAATAGACGTCTAGTATTTTTTTTGATGAATTTATTATCATATAATTTATCATTTTTAATACACACATATTATTGCTAAAGCACACACACACACAGACACACACACAKACACACACACACACACACACACACAYACACAYACACACACACACACACACACACACACACACATACACACACATACACACACATACACAAACATACACACACACACACACACACACACACACACACACATACACACACATACACACACATACACACACACACACACATACACACACATACACACACACATACACACACATACACACACATACACACACATACACACACATACACACACACATACACACACATACACACACATACACACACATACACACACATACACACACACACACACATACACACACATACACACACATACACACACATACACACACATACACACACATACACACACATACACACACATACACACACATACACACACATACACACACATACACACACATACACACACATACACACACATACACACACACACACACATACACACACATACACACACACACACACACACACACATACACACACATACACACAMATACACACACATACACACACATACACACACATACACACACATACACACACATACACACACATACACACACATACATACATAGACATACATACGTACATAAAAATAATTCACAATTCAATATAATTTATATAACATTTTATTGATATATAAAAAAAAGATATTTTATTAAACTACAATATGTTCAAGGTTAAATTATTGATATATTTATTTTTTTAAATAAAATTAAAACAAAAAAAAAATAAATGCATAATAAATAAGTATATATTTTTTTAAAATATGTCTAAAAAACACATTTTAGAAAATAATTAATTATTAAAATTAAACAAACAAAAAAATATAACCATAATATACATCCTTTTTAGACAACAATATTATTAACATTATTATTATTATTATTATAAAATATTTTTATAAATAATAAATATTTTATTATTATTATTATTATTTAAAAAATGTACATGTTAAATTCAAATTTAATTATAATACTAATAATAATGCTAATAATTAGCCAGCTAAAATTTGGTCAAACATGTCAATCGGACACCGATTGTCTAATTGGCCAACAAGTGCACCGGTGTGTCAATCATGTATGTTTGGTTAGCCATAATCCCAGTCCTCTGGATGCCCAGTGCCTAACAGATATTGATTGTCTACCAACGTATGGCAAATACTACCGGTGCTATCAATTCAAATGTATATCGGCTACCAATAAACTGTGTACCGAGGATCGGGACTGTCAATCAAATAGACTACATAAGCGCTGTCGCAATAATCACTGTAGTATTTTGTAATTTTAATTATTTTATATTTAATTAATATATAAATTATATTTTATTTAATAAAAAAAATGTTTTAGTATAGTAAACATATATGAAGTTATAGTTTTTTTTTACATAATTAAATCTATCTATAAGTTTTGAAAAAATGATATAAATATATATATAAAATTTTAGTTTTATTTACAGAAATAAAATACTATAATATTATAAAAATTATTAAAAACTAAACTATTATTAGTATTATTTTTTTAAAAATTAATAAAAGTAATATATTTTAAAAAATATAATAATGTTTAGTATGTTTATTGATTGGTAATATACTATTTTTTTAAATAATAAAATAATTAAATTATAATTTTTAATAATAATAATATTTTTTGTGTGGTTATTGTTTCACAAGTTTATTGTCAATGTCAACAACAAACAAAATTTTTTATTTATTAATAAATTTTAATTAATACTTATAATAATATTGATAATAATGATAATACAATAATTGTTAATAAAAAAACATATATTTGTAATAAATAATAATAATTATTTTTTTTAAAGATTAACATGGATAATTATATTGCATTTTTTTATATCCTATTACTATTATAATTAAAACCATAAAATTTTTTTTTTATATATTTAAAATATACACAGAAAATTATTTCAACATTTTTTTTATTAAAAAAAACTATCTTTAATTAGTTAGTTAATTATTTAGTTAGTTAATTATTTAGTTAGTTAATTATTTAGTTAGTTAGTTAATTATTTAGTTAGTTAATTAATTATTTAGTTAGTTATTTATTTAGTTAGTTAATTATTTATTTAGTTAGTTAATTATTGTTACTTTATTATTAAGTTAGTTAATTATTTAGTTAGTTAATTGCTTAGTTAGTTAATTATTTAGTTAGTTAGTTAATTAATTAGTTTTTCTAATTTAAAAAAATATATATTTATTTCAACAAAAAAAACTATTTAAAAAAAATAAATAATTAATTTTAATAATTTAATTATGAGTTTCGATACCGTATTGATCACTGGCGCCAATCGTGGCATCGGACTAGAGCTGACACGACAGTTGTTAGCGGCACCCAAACCGCCCCAGCATTTGATTGTTACCGTCAAAGACATCAACAATAATAATAATAATAAAACTGGTGGCAAACTGTACGACCTGTCCGCTGCCCATCCCGATAGGCTACACGTCCTTGAATTGGACGGCCATAAGTTTGATACGTACGCCCAGTTTGCCCGACAAGTTCACCAGATACTGGGCCCACTGGGTTTGGATACACTGATCAATAATGCCGGTATACTCTATAATACCGGACTAGAGGATGTCCAACCAAGCGATATGTTGGATAATTTTCAAGTTAATACAATGATGCCATTGTTTTTGACTAAACAATTGCTACCGGAGCTTAAGATATATATACAGTATATATATATATATATATATACAGTATATTTAATAATAATAATTATTATATTAATAATAATTATTATATTAATAATAATTATTATATTAATAATAATAAAACTTATAATAATAATTCAATAATTAAATTAGTTGTGCATGTATATATTAATATTTTATAAGTTACAACTATATGTAAATTTATCTAGTTAAAAAGCAACAAAAAAATTAGCTAGATAAATTTCAGACAATAATTTAATTTATAAATATATTAAACATATATATATATATATATATATATATATATATATGATATATACTTTTAATTTTATAATATATTTATTAAAAAAAAAACTTAATATTACATAATTGTAGATTTTTATTAATATTTAATTTTAATTATTTAWTTAATTATTTAAATTGTTTAAATTGATTGATTTATTTATTTATAAAAAACAAAAATTAGCAAGCTAGATTACTTAATCGTAAAACAATGGTTGTCAATATAACMTCGGTATTGGGCTCAGTTAGCCAATATTCAGCTACCCGGCTGACACCATTTCCCAGTTATCCCTATCGTACAAGTAAGTCGGCCCTACATATGATTAACAAATTGTTGGCCAATGATCTCCGCGAGGACGGCATACTAGTAGTAGCCATACATCCCGGTTGGTTGCAGACAGATATGGGCGGACCGGTAGCACCGGGTAGTGTAGAAAAAAAATATTACAAAACTATTGAACGTATTGGCCCGGGTTGATGATAGTCATCATGGTAATATTATTAACTATAAAGGTAGTTTTATACAACCATAATATTAAAAAAAAAATTTATAAAAATTAAAAATATAGTAGTAGTAGTAGTTGTAGTAATGTGTTATAAAATAATAATTATAAATAATTAAATTAATAAATAAATAATTAAATAATAATAATCTATTGTTATCTTTGTGTTTATATTTTAATAAAAATTTTTAAATAAATAAAAATAAAAATAACATATTAATATATTTATTAAATGATTAAATAAATTATTATTTATTTATTACTTTATAATTTTTATTAAAAAAATTTATATAAAGTTGTTGTATTAATAAATATATAATTTTTTAAATATAATATTAGTAATTTAATTAAGCAATATTTTTTTTTTAATTTTATTTTTTGTTTGTAGCTTATAACATAATAATAAGTTAATAATAATAAAAGTATTAAAATAATTTTTTTTTCAATTAGTTTAGTCTATTAAGTATACAGCATTTGTATAAAGCAGCTGGTTAATTTTTTTTTTATTAGTTTAATTATTTATACAAATAATGTTTATATTTTAATTTTATTTTTGAATAAATTGCTAATTTATAAAGTTATATATAATAATAATAATAATAATAATAAAATAAATAATATATAATAAAGAGTTAACTTAAATAAAATTATTTAAAATAATAAATAAATGTTACATGTACATTTATAAAAATTTTTTTATATATTATAATTTTTATAATAATAATTATTATTATTATATTTAATAATAATTTATATCTTTAATAATGAATATTTGAAATTTTATGCTAATTTAATTACAGTATTATTATTTTTTATTTTTTTGCTAAAATATAAAATAGTAAATAATGAATTTATATAATTAAATTATATTTTATTATAATATAAAGTTAGAAAAATAAAAATATTTTATTTTAATTTATGATATTTTTAAAAAAAGAAAAAAAATAGTTGAAAACTATTGATATTTTGTAGTTAATGTTTAACTGTAAATAATTATATTATAATAATTAACAAATAAATAAAAAAATAATACAATTATAACCAAAAAAAATATATTATTATTATTAATAAACATTATATATGTATTTTTTAAATGTAATTTATTAATAATAATAATAAAAAATTAAAAAATACTAAAATCTCATAAACCAATAATTAAGTAACAAAAAAAATAACAATTAAATAATTATAAAAAAATATACAAAAAAAACATTATTATTATAAAAATTATTTTAAATATTATTATTAAAAATTATTATTAAAAATTATTACTAAAAATTATTATTAAAAATTATTATAAATATTATTTTAAATATTATTATTAAAAATTATTATTAAAAATTATTACTAAAAATTATTATTAAAAATTATTATAAATATTATTATTAAAAATTATTATTAAAAATTATTTTAAATATTATTATTAAAAATTATTATTAAAAATTATTATTTAATTCCCGTAATCTTCGCGTATGAATCGGGCGCCCATCTCGCCGGCCAACATCGCCGCGGCCATAGTATTGGCATTGATTACTTCGGGATAGACGGATGAATCGCAAACACGTAACCCTTGGATACCTTTGACACGCAATCGCGGGTCGACTACAGTATCCCTACGCTGGGGGTCACCCATACGACAGCCGCCGACCATATGTATGACAGTACCGGCCCAGTTGTCAATCAGACAATCCATATAACTCTGGCACTTGTATACAGGACTACCCTCACCACCAGCACTACCTGGGGAACAGTATCTACACGGTGGCATCGGTATACTAGGTAGACGTACGTACTGCCGAAAACTAGTAGTTTCGGCAAAACGTATAGTTTCCCGGACGGCCTCACGTAGACGTCGTCGATCACTGGTACCGGTAGGCAAATAGTTCGGATCAATCTCGGGTTGATCATCGATACTACTGGTCCGCAAACGTACCTGACCTTGACAACTATCTGGTCTAGCTAGTTCAATTGACCATACTAGATTATCGTTGGCTAGATGTTCGCTAGTGTACTGTTCAAACTGCCGGTGCAGTAGTGCACTGTTAGCTGTTGTATTAGATGTCGGTGCATATGAACTAATCAATGGTAACGCACCCGATAGTCGGGCATTAGATTTGACCAACAAATCTGGATATGATTTATCCCGGTTACCACTGGTTGACCAATACATTACCGAATTGACCACTTCGGACATTGGACCCCTACCTTCGAGAGTAACCTGGATCAGCTGAGTCAGGTTATCGAGGCTAGCCGATGCTGACTGGCCAATCAGCCGGCCCCGATATGGCTGACGTATTAGCAGATCTAGTGGTACACCGACGGTATCGCATAGATTCGAGCCAACACCCGGTAGGTCGACATAGACTTCACCGATACCTTGGATGCCATTGAGATGATTGGCCGGTCCTATACCAGACAGCATCAGTAGCTGTGGACTGGCTATTGGACCTAAAAAAAATAGTTATATAATTATAATACTAATAGTTTGTTATATTTAAGCACTAGTAGATACAGCAGATAGTATTACCTGCCGATAGTATTACCTCCCTGTTTGCTAATACACTATATGTACGATTATTTTTCCGAAACTCGACTCCCTGTGCCCGGAGAGGACGGGCAGTATCATTGTTGTTGTTACGTTTGATTATTACTTTGGATACCTGTGCCCGGGTAACAATAGTCAACTGGGGACATAGACCACTTTCCAAATAGGCATTATTAGTCGATGATCTCAAACCCCGGGCCCCAATAGTCAACTGTGCAATTGTAAACCCTGTTTGATTTGCACCATTAATATCCGTATAGTCGAGTCCCCATTCACGGGCAGCAGCCTCGGCTTGTTTCAAATATATAGGATACGGTTCACCCGGTGTCGATATACCTACCGGTCCCTGACGGCCGTGATATTCATCCATAACCCGGGGGTCGGTATTGTTTTCCATTAGTTTAAATACTGGCAAAACACTCGCGTAATCCCAACCAATGGCACCGTATTTTGAGGCAATCATATCATAGTATTTACGATTACCTCTAAAAGCAATTATTTATAAACAAAAATAATAATAATAATAAACAGTTTATATAAATATTAAAAAAAAATTAATATTAATTAATAATTTAATATAAATAAAAAAACTATTTATTATTTGTATTATTAAATGTATTTTTTCAAAATACTATATAAATATTATAAAATTTAATATTAATTAATAATTTAATATAAATAATATAATTATATATATTATTAATTATATTATTAATTGTATTATTAAATATATATTTTTTAAATACTATATATTATTAAATATATTATTTATTAGTTATTTTTTCTTAACGATTACTTATATAAATAAAAATAGTTAATTAATTTGTCTAAATATATATATAAATTAAATTTTTAAAAAAATAATTAATTAATTACTAACCATACCTATTATAAACCAGACCATTGATAGTGGATCCGCCACCTAAAACCTTAGCCCCGATCAGCACTTGTTGACCCATATTTAGATAGGAATGACCAGTTGATTGCTGTCGACTTATATTATAGAAACGATAGGCCTGTCGTGTTTTATCTGTACTGATACTATGTATATCATCTAATAGGGCATCGACAGGACCACCCTCTTCAAGCAATAGGACATCCGAACCCCATTCAGATAGACGACAGGCGACAATAGCACCGGCAGTTCCGCCGCCGACTACTATATAATCGTATCGGTGTTTCGGTGGCAGTGGTGTACGATTGGCCACCTGGTTGTGCTGTAGCTGCCGGTGCCATATAATAGTATAGACTAGATATAGTTGTTTTAGATAATTGACAGTAAACGACATTTGATTATTATTATTATTAACTTAATTTTATTTTCGCAACAAAATAATAGTAATAATAATAATAATAATTTTTTATTTTTATTATTTATGTTTTGTTTCAAAAAAATATTAATAAATATTAAGTTAATAATAATGATGATATTAAATTTATTATTTTTTGTTTTAGTTTTTAATTAGTCTAGTCTATTACTAAAAACATATGTTAGTAAAGCAGCTGGTTAATTATTTTTTTTTAAATTTATTTTATTTATTTAACTAGATAACTTACAAAAAATATTCATTTTAATAATTTTTAGCTAAATTAAAGTGCATTTTATAAGTTTTATACTATTGTATTGTATTTATTTATTTTCTAGTTTTAATTATAAATATTATGATAATGATAGAATTAAATAAAATATTTTATTTTATGATATTATTTTTAAATAAAAAAAATATATAGTAATTATAACATAAAAATAAAACAATTATAAAAAAATACAAACAATATTATTTATTATTATATACTGTAATAATAAATGTTGTTTTATTTATTAGTTTAAAGATTAAAAAAAATTTAAAAAAAACTACTAATTATATATACATTATTTATAATTATGTTTTTATAATAATAATAATAATAATAATATTTCAAAAATCAATAATTAAATAAAAAAATAAAATTACTAAAAAATATTCACAAAAAAAATATAACTATAATATAAAAAATTATTATAAAAATATCTCTTTCATATATATATATATATAAATTCATATAATAATCATTTATGTGTATTATTATTAATATTTAAACTCCCGGCCACCCCTCCCTCACTCCCTCCCCCGCCCACCAATCTTCACGTATGAATCGGGCGCCCATCTCGCCGGCCAACATCGCCCCGGCATTAGTATTGCCATTGATTGCCTCCGGATAGACGGATGAGTCGACTACACGCAACCCTTGGATACCTTTGACACGCAATCGGGGATCGACTACAGTATCCCTACGCTGGGGGTCACCCATACGACACGTGCCGACCATATGTATTTCGGTACCGGCCCAGCTGTCAATCAGACAATCCAAATAACTCGGGCACTGGTAGATAGGACTACCACTACCTGGGGAACAATATCTACACGGTGGCATCGGTACGCTAGGTGTACGTACATACTGGCGGAAACTAGTAGTTTCGGCAAAACGGAATGATTCCCGTATGGCCTCACGTAAACGTTGCCTATCGGTGGTATCGGTAGGCAAATAGTTTGGGTCAATAACGGGTTGATCATCGATACTACTGGTCATCAAACGTACCGTTCCCCGGCAACTGTCGGGTCTAATCAGTTCGGCAGCTAATCGTAGATAATCGGTTGATGAGATTTCATGGATGTATTGGTCAAACTGCCGGTTCAGTAATGGTTGGGTCGATTGGTTAATCGGTTTATATAAATTAATTTCGGGTAAACTACCCGATTGTTTGGCCGTAAACATGATAAACAAATCGGGATATGATTTATCAGGGTTAACCTGGCTAGACATATACATAATTGTATTTGACAATTGTGACATTGGACCCTGACCCTCAAGGTTAACCTGGATCAGCTGAGTTAGGTTATATAGTTTTGGTGATGATTGGCCAACTAAGCTACCAGTGCTGCTGGTGGATGATTGTTGTTGAGGTCGTACAGGTAGATCAATGGTTACCCCTAAATGATCGCATAGATTTGAGCCAACACCTGGCAGATCGGCATATACTTCACCGATACCTGGGATGCTATTGAGATGATCGGCCGGTCCGACGCCCGACAGCATCAGTAGCTGTGGACTGGCTATAGGACCTGAAATATATATATATATATATATATATATATAATATATTAATAGCATTATAATAATAATAATCAGTATTGCAACTATGGGTATATATAAATGGTGTATGCATTTGGGATATTAGTTTATATTAATAAATATCTCATAAATTATACATTAAAATGATCATGGACATAATCGTAGTTAATAAATTAAAACTCAACATTATTGTATATCATGGTCATTTTTTATTAATTATAAAATTAACTAGATAATAATCAAATAATTTATGTCGATGCTATATTATCTAGTTATAATTCTACAATTAATTAATCAAAAAAAAATTGACCAATCATACAATAATGTTAAGTTAAAAATATTATCTCTACAATTATGCCCCTTGGTCATTTTTTTTATTAGAAAATTGAATGTATTTGTTTAACAAATATTTTTTTTTAATAAAAACTAATAGAGTGGGATATCCTGGGTACTAACCCAATACACCATATATATATATAACCATACTTGCAATACTTGATAATAATAATAATAAATATATTAATACATGTATATATATATATATATATATATTACCTGCCGATATAATTACCTCCCTGTTTGCCCATAAATTATAGGTACGATTATATTTATGATATTGTACTCCCTGTGCCCGTGGATGGATATCTCCATTGTTTAGTGTATTTGTATGTTTGATTATCACTTTGGATACCCTGGCACCGGTAACAATAGTCAACTGGGGACATAGACTACTATTTTCCAAATAGGCGTTGCTAGTCGACGATCGTAATCCATTGCCGACAATAGTCGACTGTGCAATTGTAAACCCAGTTTGATTTGCACCATTAATATCTGTTAAGTCCAGTCCCCATTCACGGCCGGCCACCTGGGCTTGTATCAAATATATTGGATACGGTTCACCCGGTGTGGATACACCTACCGGTCCCTGTCGGCCGTGATACTGATCGCTAACCCGGGGGTCGGTATTGTTTTCCATTTGCTTGAATACTGGCAAAACACTCGCGTAATCCCAACCAATGGCACCGTATTTTGAGGCTATAGTGTCGTAAAATTTGCGATTACCTCTAAAAAGCAACCAAACAAACAAAATAATAATAATAATTTTAAACATATATTTTTAAATAATATTTTTTAAATAGAAAATTTTTTTAGTTAATTTACAGTACAATAAACAAACATTATAATTATTACTGTATTTTTTTTAAAAAATATACTAAAATATATTATATAATACAAACATTTGATTATATACAAAAAAAATTATATAAATAATTATTAATATAATATATTAATAATCTAACTTTATATTAATGTTAATGTATCATTAAATGTTTTTTTTCAATTAAAAAATACTGTATATATATATATATATAAATAATATATGTATTTATTTATTATTTTAAATATATATATCCCATACAGTGTTTCATCTATTTATTCCCAAAACTATTTCAATAGTAAACATAACTATAGTTCAATACTATTGCTTTAGTTCAATGCCTTAACATATACTTAACAAAATGTAATTTTAAATAAAACTTTTAAAATTTTTATTGTAAATTAATTACTTAAAAGAGTGAAAAAAAATTATTTAATACTCTGATATTTTTTTGTCTAATAATCTATTTATGAGTTTTTAATATCTGTTTAATAAGTATTAAAAAAATTGTATTTTATAATAAACCATAGTTTTCAGTATTGAAATAAAAATTATTTTTTTTTACTTTTTTAAAAATAGTTTTTCTAAAAAAAAATACTTTTGAAATAAATAATGAGAAACAATGTATAATATTATATACTGTTTATATATATATATACCTATTATAAAGCAAGCCGTTAACAGTGGATCCGCCACCTAATACACGACCCATTAATAATGTTTGTCGACCATTGTTTCGATAGGAATGTCCAGTCAATTGTTGCCGTTGCATACTATAGTATCGATAGGACGGTGCAGTTGCTAGTCGATCAAGTGTTAGGCCAGGTATGTCATCAAACACTGCATCTACTGGACCGCCCTCTTCAAGTAGTATAACATTTAGGCCCCATTGGGATAGACGACAGGCTAGGATTGAACCGGCACTACCAGCGCCTACTACTATGTAATCGTAGGCCTGTTTAGGTGGTAGTGGTGTACGATAGGCCAGTTGATTGTGCCTGAGCTGCCGGTGCCATATAATAGTAAATACTAGATATAATTGTTTTAGAAAATCTAGGTTGTACATTTAGTATTGTTATTATTAGTTGATTTTTTTTATATATAAAAATTTATTAAAATTTTTAATATGATTATTAAAACAGCTCGGTTGAATTTAGGTTATAATCAAAAAAACCATAACAACAATAATAACAACAAAAAAATAAAATATTTTAATTTTAATTAATTTTAATTAATTTTACCAGCTGACATATGTTTTATTTTATTTATAATTTTTTTTCAACTTGTTACATTAGTTATTTGTATTTTTGTTAAAAATATTTTTTTAATATTATATTACATATAATGTATTTAATATAACAATAAAAATAATATTTTATGTTATTAATTTATTAATTATTTTTATTTAATTAAATAATTATTATATTATTTTCTAGATAAATAAAATAAAAAAAATATTTTTTTTATTAGATTATTTGATTCATTATTCATATTATATATTTTGGTTTACGGTTTAATTTTAAGCATTTAATTGTTGAATTATGGATATGAAGTATGAATACCCCTGTAGGCACCGGTAGTATATAGTAGACGACTGGGTATTACATGCAGTATTCATCAAAAATAATATATTGAAAAACTAAGTATAAAGTTTTTGTAACATTTTTTAAATAATAATAATAATTATTTATTTATTAAAAAAACAATAAATAAATACAAAATAATACTAATAATTAAATTATTTCAATTAAAAATCATTTATTATTATTATTAATCAAAAATTATTATTTTGTATTAAAATATATTTTGGTTTTTAAATTTTTTTTTAATTGATTGTAATTAGATATTATAGTATATCGATAATAATTTTAACTTTAATTATTTTTTAAATATATATTACCTTAATATCCACATTATCATTACTACTAGTAATTTACTAGTGCAACAAAATATATTTAATTAAATGAAAAATATATTTAATTAAATATAATATAATATTTTTGGTGATAAATAACTAAAAAAATATTTAATTAAATATTTTGTATGCTTTTATTATAGTAAATATAATTAAATATTAAAACTTAAATCTGTAAAAATTATAGATTAAAAATTACAAATTAATTAAATATATATTTTTTTATACTAATAAATAACTAATTTTTTAAAAAATAAATAAATAAATATTTAAGTAAATAGTTTTTTTTAGTAAATATTTTTATTGAATATATTCACAAAAATTTTTTTTTTAATGCACTAATCATTGACATACAGTTACACAACATAAGGTTATACATCTAACCTACATTAATAGCACTAGTAGTAGTATTGCATACATAAGCCGGTAATGGTCCACCCTGAAAATTAGGCCACTGTCTAATCAAATCATATAAATGTTGACCGGGACTAGTAGTGTTACACTGTATATCTCTATGGCCATGTAATTGATAGTCCCTCCGGAGGGCACCCATTTCCCGGGCACACTGTAGCCATTGTTTGGCCACATCTAACTGCTCAAGGGTAGGCCTACCCTGATCATAGTTACCAATAAATGCCAAATTTACGGACAGATCAAACATACCTCTTGCCCGAGAGTTAACTGTATGCCAACTGCGACCAATATATACCCGTCCGTCGCCACCTACCAGTCCATTGTATCCAATGTCGTCCCAACCGTTCCGATCCATATGTAGATTCTGTGCCCATTTGACTACTGATATACATGAGCTCCCATTCAAGCAGTTTAACGGTTCCGATGTATGATAAATGAATGCATGGCCTACGGGTAGCGACATTGCCTGAATCGGCTGTTTAGGGCTACGGGCGCCCCATTCATACCGTCTAACCCACTGTATATCCAAACATACTAATAGTTAGACAGAGAGACAGAGAGACAGAGAGACAGAGAGACAGAGAGACAGAGAGACAGAGAGACAGAGAGACAGAGAGACAGAGAGACAGAGAGACAGAGAGACAGAGAGACAGAGAGACAGAGAGACAGAGAGACAGAGAGACAGAGAGACAGAGAGACAGAGAGACAGAGAGACAGAGAGACAGAGAGACAGAGAGACAGAGAGACAGAGAGACAGAGAGACAGAGAGACAGAGAGACAGAGAGACAGAGAGACAGAGAGACAGAGAGACAGAGAGACAGAGAGACAGAGAGACAGAGAGACAGAGAGACAGAGAGACAGAGAGACAGAGAGACAGAGAGACAGAGAGACAGAGAGACAGAGAGACAGAGAGACAGAGAGACAGAGAGACAGAGAGACAGAGAGACAGAGAGACAGAGAGACAGAGAGACAGAGAGACAGAGAGACAGAGAGACAGAGAGACAGAGAGACAGAGAGACAGAGATATTATCGTTAATATTAAACAAAAATTTTTTAATTATATATATTTTATTGTAATTTTTTTTACCTTTTGGTTTTGGCTGTACTACAGTACAGTAGTTGACATTAATAACTACAGTAATAATCAGTAAAATTGACAACATTTTTATAAAAATTTTAAAGTATATTACAATATAGTTTTAGTATTTTATAATTATTTTACAATATATACAGTATATAAATATATAATTTTTATATGAAATCAAATATAATATGGAGAATATAAATTATCTATTAATATATATATATACTTATATTTTATATATATTTTTATTAATTAGCAATAAATTTAATTACAAAAAAATGTAATTTTAAAAAGAAAATGTAAAATTTTATTAATTAAAAAATGTTGTAAATGAAAAATATATACATATAATTAAATAATTTATCAAAATGTATAACTTATTTATAATTATTTTTTTTATATATATTAAACTTAATCTATATAAATAAATTTATTTTTGTTTCATATAGATTTTTTTTTACAAAATATTTTGAAAAACTATAACAATTTAATTGTAACAAATAAATATTATTAATATAAAAATAATTTTATAAACAATTTTTAGTTAAAGTTAAAATTGATGTTATTCTAGCAAAATATTAGTTATCATTTTTAAAAAAAAAATTATTTTAAAACTATTATAAAATTCATATTAATTATTTATAATAAAAAATTGATTTAATAAATTTTTTGTATAAATTTATATATTTTTATCTATATTGATTATTACAATATAAAATATTTTAATTTAAAAAAAAATATAAAAGTAAAGTGTAGTAAATAAATATTTAATTATATTTTTATTCAAGGTAGATAATTTATAGTAAAACTAGTTTTAAATTTGTTTACTTAAACTATATAAACTATTTGAAAATTATTAGTATTAAATTATTATAGTTTGCAATAATTTTTATTTTTTATAAAAAAATCTAAAATGCTAAATTACAAAAATAATATATATTATGTTTACTATTTTTTTTAAATATTTGTATATATTTATTTATATATTAATTAAAAATATTAATTATAAGCTATCTAATATTTATAATTAATTTGATATATTTAATTATAAAATTTCGTGCTGACTATTAATTTTTTTAAAAAATTAATAAAATAAAAGATTAGACATATTTGTTGATCAAGTATTAATTTTTTAATTTAATATTTTAATTATTATAAAAATTAATTTATTAAATAATTACAGTTTATAATTATATGAACAATATATGTATCAATAATAATAATTATTATTGATACATATATTTAAAATTATTTTAATATAAAATTTATTTACTTATTTTACTAATTTTTAAAAAATGCTATATTGCTTATTGTATTTTACTAAACATTTTTTTTTAATTTTTTCATTTAAATCAAAATTGTACTAATATTAAGTTATTTAATAAATAATAATAATAATTTAGTTTTAATTAGTTTTAACTATTAATTCTAAATCATAAGTTAATAAACAGATTACAATTATATAAATATTGATATATATATTTTTTGTTAATTTTAATTAATTAATAAAATTTAATCATTTAGTTGAATAAAAACTACTATTTATTTAATAACAATAGTCTTAACTTATTATTAATTATTTGTTTAAAAAATAAACTGTAATATTTTAATTGTTTAAAATAAATGTTATTAATATTACAATTATTTAATTTTAAAAAAATCAGATCAAGTAGTACAAGTAAATATTTAAATATTATTATAGAAAAATTAAATTAATTTTTTAAATTTAGTTTTTAATATTATTTACAAATGAGTTTTTTTTAAATTAATTTAGTAGTAATTAATATTTTAATTAAAAATATTAAAAATGTTTAATTTAAAAAAATAATAATAATATACGTATTGTTTTTGTTGTAGTTATTATTATTTTATTTAAATTTAAAATCATAGTTTAACTTATCAAATGTTAATTATACGATTTTTAAACAATTTTTTTTAAAAAACGAATTAAATAATATTAATAATTAATTATATTCAATGATTAAAAGTATGTATAAAATAGTTTTTTTAATAAAAAAAATACAATTAGTTATAAATAAATTTATTGACTTTTAAATCTATTTAATTTAAATTACTTATAGTATTAATTTAAATAATAAAAATTCATCAGATATTGATAAACTAGAAATTTTTACTATACTTTAACTAAATAAAATATATATAAATAGTTTTATTAAATTATTACAGTTTGCTAAATAATTTAATTATAGTTATTTATAGAAAAATTTTTAAAAAAATTATAATAAACAAAATAGTATTTTATTTTTTATTTTTAACTAATTACTAGTTATTATGTATTATTATTAAATTAAAATTAATTAAATTTTTATAAAAAAAAATATTGTAAATACGATTGTTATTAGTTGAATAATAATTTTAATAATAAAATATCTAATAATAGGTATAGATATAAAAGATCCCATAGTACAGTATAATACAGTTAACTTTCTATATAGAATATCTATATATAGAAAATTATCCCTGAAATTTATAAAAAAAAAATTTCTAGAAAATTTCTATTTGCCCATCACTAATTTCATATTTTAGTTATATATTTATATTTAATAAAAAAAATACTGTAATTATTTAATTGACATAGATATATATTATTTATATAAAAATGTGTATACCTATATTAATTAGCTTCACATAAATACTTACTTAAATTATTTTATTTTTGTTCATTATATTAATAATTATATAAAAATAAAATATTAATAATCGTATTATTCTCTAAATTATTAATAATTTCTATAATTATAGTGAATATTATGTTATCATTTGTTTAAATAAAAATAATAATATTATTTATATGTAAATCAAATAAATATATAACAAATTCTAGTATTAAATGCTATATTTGTGTTTATTTTAGTAAATAAAAAAACTTTATTTATTATTTATATTTCAATTGAAAAATAAATAAATAATTATATGTATATTAATTGTAAAAAAAATATTTACGCTATAAATTGTGTAATACAACTAAAATTAATATTTATAAAATAAATAATTAACTATCACTATTAGTTTATATCAAATGTTTATATCAGATAATACCAAATCAAATGCATATTTTTATATTAAAATCTAAAATTAGAAAATAATAATATTATTTTTTTATACTAAATAAACAATTTAAAAAAAATAAATAATGTAACATTTGTCTCCAGTGTAATTAATCCAATAGTTAAATATATATTTTAATTAATTAATTTATCTACCAAATAAATCTATTTAAATAAATACAGTTTATAATAATAAATACTTATTATTAATATAATAATAACATTGTGTTTTATAAATAGTGTTAACATTAAAACAGTAGTTACAAAAAATATATATATATATATATATATTTAAAAACTGTAATAATAATATAGTAATTAGTTTTTTTAAATTTATATATATATATTTATATATAATTAAATAATGTAAAGTTCAATTTTTTTAAATTTATATATATATATTTATATATAATTAAATTGTTTAGCTAATATTAATTTGTTTATCATAACACTAATAAATTAAATAAAAATAGTTGTATTAAATTTTTACAGTTTTTTTAAAAATATCAATAATAACAATAAATTATTTTGAATATATAGTATAATACTTATAATATATATATTACTTATGATATATATTATAATATATTTATAAAAATAAATTATAAGTAGTTAATTATAAATATTATGTTAAATTAGAAAATAATAMTTAAAATAAAATTAATTATTTTTGTTTTTCAATTATTTAGTTGAATATAGACTACTGAATAGGTTATGACAATCGATAGGGCTGTCCATATCATTGACGGTTGAATTGTAAACAGTGAACAAGCAGTCAAATCAATGGGTTGTCCGCGTATATGTGCTAACAGTATGTTCAACAATGGATAGCAATCGTTGGGCACTGATTTGGTCAATGAGTTTAGATCCGTATAAATCGCGCGATACGTTTGACGTGATTTCCAACACGTGTTGACCGCAGTCAGGGTTAGCATCGAGTATAGTGTTGTTGAAAATATCAATTGATATACAGGTAGTACCAAATCGAATGCCTCTTTTAAATCTATAGTTATTTTTTTTTTGGTGAAAAAATATAAAAATAATAAAATATTATTTTAAAAAAAATTTAGCATATGTAAAAAATAATAATAGTATTATTATACAAAATAAATTAATCAATAATTAAAATGTAAATTCATTGGACAGACCTAATAGTATTTTTTATTACTTAAAATTTAAATATTATATAAAATTAGTTGTATTAAATAATTACAGTTTTCAAAAATATTATTAAAAATTTATTTATAAAGAATTTTTTTTAAAAAAAATGAAGTAATATTTAAAATGACTAATAATAAAAAAAATTTTTTGGAAATATTTTTTTTCTATAAACATATTTTTAGATTTTAAAAAAATAATAAAATAAATATTTATTTTTTCTAAATGTTTAAATTATTATTTAAATAAAAAATTAAAGTAAATATTTAGTTAGTTTTGTACTTAAATTTAATTATAATATAATATGAACCATAATATTTAATTAATTATTATTATTAACTATTTATTATACATTCAGCATACTTTATATAATATTTATGAAATTATTGTTAAACAAACTGTAATAAAGTATTTTTTTAATAAAGTAATTACTATATAATGTAAATGTTTTTAGTATTATAATAGAAAAATGTGAAAACAAAATGCAACATGTACTATTTAAAAGTATTTTTTTAAAAAATAAATATAACAAAACTTAAAAACTAATTTTAATTTAAATACTAGTTTTTTAATGAATATATATATATATAAATATTTAAGTAGATTTTAAAAAAAAAAATTATTTTTTTAAATATTTAACTAGATTATAAAATAGTAAATTTAGTAAAATTAAAATTTGTTACCTAATTTTGTACAATTTTGTAGAAATGCAATAATTACCAAGGTATATTTACACATATTAAATATTAATACTAAAAATATAATCAATATCGATTTGGACATTTGCAATTGTAGCCTGTACAATTGTTCACTTAGTTCATTGTGGGCGTATTGTATTTTACGTAATGTACCATGATTGATTACATAATTGCTAGCCTGAACCTGGTCATTTAGTTCATCAAACATGGCGCCAATCAATTGACAATTTAATATAAATTGTATACTAACTAAATGTATGGGCAGATAGCAAGGTAGATAATAGGCTAGATATTCCGTAATATATAGCAAGCGCTCAGGTAGGCTATATTGGGGTTTGTTGGGGACAGTATGATTTGACATTAAAAACAATTGATTCAACCAAAATAATCTAATCAATATCATTGATATATATAGTACAGTACCCGTAATTACCATGATCAACATCGATCGGGCACGTTTTTTATATCTAACTAATTTATTAGCTACCAGTGCCTGGTGTAAATTTGTTTTTAATATCTGGGCATCGTACGTGTGTGTTGTAATTAAAACTAGGGTGGCCAACATTTTGAATAACATAGCTAGTATACGCAAGTAATTTTTTTCATAATGTAACCATGCACGTTCACAGTTACGATAGATGACAAATAAGTTTAACAGTATGATTAACGTACGCGACACGTGCGTTACGTTTAGTTTGAAAACGTATGATTGATTATTATTATTATTATTATTATTATTACTAGTGTTGTTACGTTCGAATCCATAATATTTCATCATGGTCAATAATGGTGTTAATTTAATAGTATTATTATTATTATTAGTGTCAACATTAGCTGAATCTAGCTTGATGCTATTCATATTTACTTTTAAAAAAACAATTGATTTTAATTTTTTATAAAAATATATTTTAAATATTTTTTTAATAAAAAATATTTTATCTTACTAAAAAAATATTTTAGTATTAAAAAATACTTTTTGTTAATAATTAAACTTTTTTTTGAAGTATGAAATAAATACTAAATAATTATCTTATTTTTAAAAATTATAAATAGTTTTTTTGTTGTTGTATTAATAATTATAATAAAATATAGTTATAATGAATAAAATGTAATATTTTTTATAATAATTCAAAAATAGTATTTATATGTCAATCAAAAAATATGCTACTATTATATTAATACTATTATATATTTCAAATATATGTAATTTTTTATTTTTTGAATAGTTTAATATAAAACTCAATATTTATTATTTATATATTTAAACAACAATATTATAATTATTGTATTTATTGTAAAAAATAAATTATATAATATAATTTATTTTAATACAAATAAAATAATTATTTATATTTTGATAAGACAACTTTATATAATACTATTGATAAGTTTTTAATAAAAATAAAATAAAAACTTATATATGTTTCTTAAAAGCTATGATTAATAATAAATAAGATATAATAAATTAGTATATTTAATACTAATATTAAACTTATTTATAAATATTTAATTTATATAAACTTAATTGTTGTTTTATTTTATCATCAAATTAATCGTAGTTTATTAAAAAAAAATAATTAAAAATATATACTGTATATTGATATTAATTTTAATTTTTTATTTATAACTTATTATTTTATTTTGGATTTTTTATTATATAGATAAATTTTTTTTATTAATTAAAATTAGATAATATACTGTATATATATTAAATTAGTATTGATAAAAATTAATTAACATATAATTTTTACCATATGTTTTAGCAATTATCAGTAAATTATTATTATTTTCTAAAAAATATATAAAAAATTATTAGTAGTTAATAGCGGTAAAAAAATAAAAATAATAATAAAGATTATTATGTATTATTTACAATATGTTTAATAATTTATTTTAAAAAATAATAAAAAATTAATTGATTAGATTAATGATAAAACTAATAATTTTACTATATAAGCTATATTATTATTATTATTAAATTTAAATTAAATATTTTATTTTATTTAAATGTAAAAAAATTAATTAAATAATATTTTTTATTGTTTAAAATGAATACTATTCTAATCATAATAACTTTAATAATTAATTGTAAGTATTTAGTAAAAGTATTACAAATAAAATGTAAATTTAATAAAATTAATTAATTAATTATAAATTAGTTTACTATACTATTGGTGATAAATGTATAGCCGGTTGGGACACATATGATGATCAACTAAAGTGTATCCAAATAGTCAGCGATTCACTGGAAAAATATGCTAATGCTGTTGATATGTGTGCTAAGTTGGCTCCGGGATCAACATTGTTGACAATACATTCACCAGAGGAACAGTACTATTTTACTGACTATCTATTTGTCAAACATAAACTAGTTGAATCAATATGGTTGGGTGCCCAGGTCAAACAACAATTAATGACCTGGATGGATAATACTAATGTTTCGTATACTAATTGGATAGAGGGTCGGCCAAAAAATACTAGTGATGTTGAATGTGTTGAAATACAAGCGGAAGATATAACCAAGGGTAAATGATTAGATACAGCATGTAATAAACGTAACCAGGTAGTTTGCCAGTCAATGCAATCGATGCCCGTAAGTGATCTGGAAAAATTAATATTAGAAACTAGGAAATATGCTGAAAATTTAGAGAAAATATTACTAGTCCAACAAAATCAGCTAGTTACATTAACTGCTAATTATACCAAGCAACAAAATCAACTAGATCAACTTAATAGAAACTATACTCAACTTGAAGCTAATCCCGTTCCCTTGGGGTTTATATATACACAACTTGCCGATCAACCTGAACCCAGTCAATTGTGGCCAGGGGTTAAATGGCAAGATGTTACCACCGATTACGCGGGATTGTTTTTCCGAGCCGAGGGTTCGGGTTCCGCCGCGTTTGGTCAGATACAGGCGGCTAACTGGTCCCGATTGGCAGCTATTAGTGCGCGTAGATATCTTGTTAGCACTGCCACTGATTATGGATTGCAATTAACTGATTTACCCGCAAACGGTTGGAGCAATGATATTATCAGTACTGAATGTGCGTTTCCCGATCATATGTCACTATATTTTACTGCAACGGATAATAGGCCCCGAAATCAAGCCATCAGACTATTTAAACGCATTTAGAATTGAAATGTATTAAATAAATCAAACAAATTTATTTAAAATTATTAATAATAATAATAATTTTTAGTTTATAACATTAACATTAATATTTTAAATAAATATTATTGATTAAAAACTATTATTAATTAATTATTATAAAATAATTAATTAATAATTAATAAGCTAAAATAAATTTAGTGCAAATGTGTTTAATAATATTTATAATATTATACTTATTTTTATAAATATTTAATTTATATCAAATGTATTTTATAAAAAATATATACATAGAGATTAATTTTAATTTTATTTTTAGGTTATATTAATAATAATTAATAAAAAAAATGCATTTATTAAGTTTATTAGATATTTTTAAAAGTAAAATAAAATAAAGATTTTAAATATTATTGAAACTAAAGAATTAGATTTTTTAAATTTCAAAATTTCAATCGATTTAGAAGTTTATAATTATTTTAATTTAACTATAAATTTTAAATAATATAAAATATTAATATTTATTGGAAAACATTTATTTTAATAATATAATTTTGTTATTTATAGATAAACATTAAATAGTTATTTTATTTTATTTGTTTTTATTTCATAAAAACACATTAATTAATTTAATAGATAATTAGTAGTTAATAAATAACAAAAATAAAATATTTAACTTAATTTTTTTAATATTACATTTTAATAATATTTTTTAAATTATCAATAATAAATTATACAATTAAGAAAATTAAGTTTATATTACTAATTCTTATTAAGTATTAGAAATAATTTATATTTAATTTAATATATAATTTAAAATATATTTCAAAGATAATGTTATTATCTAAGTTTAAGTATAGTATAGTAAAGTATAGTTTAAGTATTTAATAAATAGTTTATTTAGTAATTAAAAAAAATAATTATCATTCAATTCAATTCAATCATCAACAATTATATTATAAATACTAAATAACAATCTTGTTTTTAAAAATTATAAATAGTTTTTTTGTTGTATTAATAATTATAATAAAATATAGTTATATAATGAATATAATGCTATTCATAATATTTATTTTAAATAATAATTCAAAATAATAAGTATTTATATGTATTATTATTATATTAATGCTATTATATATTTCAAATATAAGTAATTTTTTATTTTTTCAATAGTTTTAGATAAAATTTATTATTTATATATTTAAACAACAATATTATAATTATTGTATTTATTGTTTAAAAAATAAATTATTTAATATACTTTATTTAATATAAATAAAATAATTATTTTTATTTTTTGATAAGACATCTTTAAATAATACTATTGATGTTTTTAATAAAAATAAAATAAAAACTTATTTATGTTTATTAAAAACTATGATTAATAATAAATAAGATAAAATAAATGTGTTTAATACTAATATTATACTTAATTATAAATATTTAATTAGAATTTAATTGAATTGTATTTTATAAAAAAAAATTAATTAAAAATAAATATACATCTAGATTAATTTTAACTTTTTATTTTTAAAAAAATAAATAATTAAAATAATTTAAAAATTAAAAATAAATAATTAATAAAAAAATTATAACTTAAAATTATATTAAATACTTTATTTTATAATATTTAATTAACATGTAAATTTTAGCATATGTTTTAGCAATTACTGGTATCAGTAAATTAATTTTATTTTCTAAAAAAAAACTATAAAATATAATTAATAGTTAATAGCGGTAAACAAAGAAAAAATAATAATTAAGATTATTATGTATTATTTACAATATGTTTAATAACTTTAACCTTAAAAAAAACAATAAAATATTACTTGATTAGATTAATAATTTTACTATATAAGCTAATGATTATTATATTAAAATTTTTAATTGTTTAAAATGAATATAATAATAATATTTATAGCTTTAATACTAAATTGTAAGTATTTAGTATTAAAAATTTTATAATAAAAATTAATTTATTTATTAATAAATTATAACTTAGTTTACTATACTATTGGTGATAAATGTATAGCCGGTTGGGACGCATACGATGGCCAACTAAAGTGTATCAAAATAGTCAGCGATTCACTGGAAACATATGCTAATGCTGTTGATATGTGTGCAAAGCTGGCACCGGGAGGACCAACACTGTTGACAATACATTCACCAGAGGAACAGGAGTATTTTGCTAACTATCTATACATCCAACATAAACTAGTTGAATCAATATGGTTGGGTGCTAAAGTCAAACAACAACAAATGACCTGGATGGATAATTCTAATGTTACCTATACTAATTGGTTAGATGGTAGACCGTGTAACTCTAGTGATGTTGAATGTGTGGAAATGCTAGCTGATCCCCAACAAGGTAAATGGTATGATCGAGCATGCAATAAACGTAACCAGGTAGTTTGCCAGTTGATGCAATCGATGCCCGTAAGTGAACTGGAAAAGTTGATATTACAAACAATTGATCAAGTTAATAAATTACAAATTGAATTAGCTAGTCAAATAGATATAGCTATTAGACAACAATATGAGCTAGATAAATTGAAATCAAATCCGGTTCCCGTGGGGTTTATATATACACAGTTGGGGGGTCAACCCGAACCCAGTCAACTATGGCCCGGAGTTAAATGGCTAGATATAACTCACGATTATTCGGGATTGTTTTTTCGGGCTGAAGGTTCGGGTTCCCTACCGTTTGGTCAGATACAGGCGGCTAACTGGTCCCGATTGGCATCGGTTAGTACGTATAGATGGGAAATTAGCGCAACCACTAGTCAAGGATGGCGTTTAACTGATTTACCCGCAAACGGTTGGAGCAATGATACTAATAATTGGTATCCACAGGAAATGCGACTATATTTTACTGCAACGGATAATAGGCCCCGAAATCAAGCCATCAGACTATTTAAACGCATTTAGAATTTAAATTGAATTCAAAACAAATATTTAATTCTTTATTTACTATTTATTATTATTATAGACTGTAATTTAATTTTTTTAAAAAAACTTTAAATCACTACTAATTAAAATGATAATTATAATACTATTATTTACTATAATACTATATTTTAACAAAACAATAATTGTTTTATTTTCACGAACTCCTGAAAGGAGTCCGTATATGTATTCTAAAAGTCTGTCTGTCCCACATAGGTTAGTGGTTCGAATCCAGACTCGGCTACAATTTTTTTTTTGATAAAGCATCAAAAATGAGCTATGAGATAAGTATTGAAATTTTGATATTTCATCAGGAACATGGCGTCTAAGAATTAAAAAATATATTTTTTGATTTTTAAATTTAGATTTGTGTAAAGCATAAAATATGAAGTATAAGAAATCTGCATTTAAATTTTTATCTCTTCAAGAAATACGAGAAAATGATAACTAAATTTTTAATTTTGTCATACTGAATCATTTAAAACCCCACATGATTATAGTTGAAATAATTTTTTTATTCTGAAGCATTTGTCATCCAACATGTCTATAGTTGAGTTTATTTTGTAATACTGAATCATTTGATACATTGTATGACAATAGTTGAGTTATTTTCGTATTCTGAACTATTTATATTTCATATTACTATAGTTTTTATTTTGTCATACTGAATTTTATTTTTAATTAGGATTTAGGAGTTCGTATGGAAATGCTTTCTAGCATTCTCAACTGGTTTTTATTGATTAACTAATTATTATTATATTATTGTTATCAACATTAGCTGAATCTAGCTTGATGTTATTCATGTTTTAACTTAAAACAGTATTAATAATTTTTAATTATATAAATTTATATATTTAACTTTTAAAAGTATATTATTAAACTAAAAAAAGAATATTAAATTATTTTAGACTTATTTAAATAAATACTAAATAATTATCTTATTTATAATAGCTTTTTATTTTATTTAAGTCATAATTATAATAAAATATAGATATAATGAATATAATGTTATTCATAATATTTTTTCATAATTATTCAAAAATAATAAGTATTTATATGTTAATAAAAAATATGCAACTATTATATTAATGCTATTATATATATATATATATATCAAATAGATTGATATAATAATAAGCATTTATCTTAATAAAATAAATTTATTAAAAAATTAAAATGGTTATTTATTATTTTCATAAAAACACTTAGTAGATAATAAATACTAATAAGTTTTAATTATACATTTTAATAATATTTTCAATTATAAATAATAAATTAAAACAATTAACATTTATAATTTTTATAATTTTTTTCAATTTATTATAAAAATGATTTTTTTTATGATTGTCAACTGGTCTCAACTAATTCAATAAAAAATAATTCTAAATGCGTTTAAATAGTCTGATGGCTTGATTTCGGGGCCTATTATCCGATTCAGTAAAATATAGATACATGTTTGTTGAATAATAGAAACCGGTATCATTGCTCCAACCGCTAACCGGATAATCGTTTATTTTCCATCCAATATCCTTTGTTGTACTAGCGTACTCTACAAATGAATTCATACTGGCCAATCGGGACCAGTTAGCTGCCTGTATCTGACCAAACTCGGCCGAACCAGAACCCTCGGCCCGGAAAAACAAACCCGAATAATCGGCGGTTATGTTTTGCCATTTAACCCCCGGCCACAATTGACTGGGTTCGGGTTGACCCGGTAGTTGTGTATATATAAAACCTACGGGAACGGGATTCATAGTAATCTTATCTAGTTGTCTAGTAAAATTTTCTTTTAAATCATGTAACTCTTTTCTAGTTTGTATAATTAATTTTTCCAATTCGCTAACTGGTTGCGCCTGCATTAGCTGGCATACTAGCATATTATGTTTGGTACATGTTACATCAACCCATTTACCCTGGTAAGGATCGGCCAACATTTCCACACATTCCAATTCAGTAACATTATGTGGTCGACCCGATATCCAATTCAAATAGGTAACTGGGCTATCGTCTATCCAGGTTAGTTGATCCAGTTGAACTTGTCCACCCAACCATACTGTATCGACTAGTTTATTTTTAACATATAACAAGTCGATCAAATAGTCCTGTTCCCGCTGCGAATGTATAGTCAATAGTGTAGCTCCGGTATCTAATTTTGAACACCTGTCCGCAGCTGAACTGTATGTGTCAATCAATTCTCTAACTATTTTGATACACTTTAGTTGATCGTCATATGCCACCCAACCGACCGGACATTTGTCCACACAATCAATATAATAATCTATAGATTAATATAAAAAAAATTAAAAAAAAATATTTTTTGTTTTATATCAGTATTAAAAAAATATACTTACAATTATTTATTATTAATACAAATATAATAATCAGTTTCATAATTAATTTCTAAGAAACTATTAATAATATTTTATTAATATATTTTTAATATTAAAATATAATTATTTATTTTTTAAAAACTACTTGGTTAAATACTTGCAATTATATTTTAATAAGATAGCTACTAATATTACATTTATAATTATTTATTATTTTTTTTAAAAAAATATTTTTACTCTTATAATTTAATATTATTAATCAAAGTTTAAGTTATTGTATTATATTTATATGTTAGAAAATTATCAGTAAAATATTGATTAATTAATAATGAAAATATCAAAGTAATAAATTTTACAATTACTGTATTATTATTGTATTAGTTATTAATTGCTGATAATTATTATATTTTTCAAAACATTTATCTCAAAAGTCAAATAACTAGTAATTAATAAATTAATTAAATGAAACTGATATTAATATCTTAATTTTAAGAAAAAAAAATATATTTTATCAAATATAAATCAAAAATTAATTAGTTATTTTGTTATTGTTAAATTTTGTTAACGATAATATTGTAAAGAAAATATATTATATATTAATATTATACAAACATAAATTAATTAATATATTATTATTTTTTTAGTAAAATTTTTTGTTTTTAATAACTTAAATTATTACTAATAAATTAAATGTCTTATTATTTTAAGTCACATTTCAAAAACAACCACAACAATATAATAACTTAAAAAAATAATATAAATTCAATATTTAGATATTTTTTGTTTTATATATAAATAATTTTATAACTATATAGATATTTTATAATATTTATAATAAATAAAATAAATTATTAATTTCTAAACATTTAACAAAGATAATACAAATATAAATATTATATTATTTTAATTAAATATGAAAATAAAGTTGAATTTAATTTTAAATTTGTATTACTACTACTAAAAAACATTTACATGCTAATTAAAAAAATGTTAATTAGTTTATATATTATGTTAATATTAATAAATTAATATAATAATATATAAAAAATTAATATGTTAATAAGTTTTAGGTAATTAATTTAATATAATTAAATATAAATTTTAATGATAAAGTTATTATCTTAAAGTTATAGTTTAAGTATTTAATAATTAGTTTCATTAATTAATTAAAAAAAATGTTTTCTAAATTATCTGAAATAATAGTTGATATTTGGAAATAAAAATTATCACATATTATTAAAGTACTTAAAAAATAAAATAGAAAATTAATTATAAATATATAAACTTTGACTTTTTTTTAAAAAAAATTAATTAGATAAAATTCAGTATATAAATACTATAATAATTAAATAATAAACATAATTAAAAAATAATTATATTAAACGATTGTAAATATATTTACAAAAAAAGTAAAATAAATAAAAATATGAATTTCTTAATTATATTTATATTTATTATAGTTAATGATTGTAAGAATTTTATATAAAAATTTACAACTTTTTTTAATTATATTTTTTTTAATCAGTTAACTATATAGTCAGTGAAAAATGTTTGGCCGGTTGGGATACATATGACGATCAACTAAAGTGTATGAAAATAGTAAGCGATTCACTGGAAACATATGCTAATGCTGTTGATATGTGTGCAAAGTTGGCTCCGGGATCAACATTGTTGACAATACATTCACCAGAGGAACAGTACTATTTTACTGACTATCTATATGTCCAACATAAACTAGTTGATTCAATATGGTTGGGTGCTAAAGTCAAACAAACAATAATGACCTGGATGGATAATACTAATGTTACCTATAGTAATTGGTTAGATGGTAGACCGCGTAACATTAGTGATGTTGAATGTGTGGAAATGCTAGCTGATCCTCAACAAGGTAAATGGGATGATCTGGCATGCAATAAACGTAACCAGGTAGTTTGCCAGTCGATGCAATCGATGCCAGTAAGTGATCTGGAAAAGTTAATATTAGAAACTAGGAAATATGCAATGGATCTTGATAAAAAATTACAAATTGAATTAGCCAGTCAAAAAGATATAATTACTAAACAACAAGATGAGCTAGATAAATTGAAATCAAATCCCGTTCCCGCGGGATTTATATATACACAACTTGCTGGTCAACCCGAACCCAGTCAACTATGGCCAGGGGTTAAGTGGCAAAATGTTACCACTGATTATTCGGGACTGTTTTTCAGGGCCGAGGGTTCGGGTTCGGCACCGTTTGGTCAGATACAGCCGGCCAACTGGTCCCGATTGGCTTCAACTAATACACATAAGTATTGTGTCGGTAGTGTTACTCAAGGATGGCATTTCACTGATCAACCCCTAACCGGTTGGGGCAATGATATTATCAATGGTTGTTTTTCCGATGAAATGTATCTATATTTTAGTGAATCAGAAAATAGGCCCCGAAATCAAGCCATCAGACTATTTAAACGTATTTAAGTTATGATTGATTTTTTTACAAATTTTTTTTAAAAAAAAAAATCTTATTCTAAAAATATTAATAAAATAAATATTAAATTAGTGTTTAGTATTTAGTATTTATATTTTCAATATATATATATATATACATGTATATATAATTCAATTTACTATTATAATAATTTATTTAATAATATTTTTTGTTAGAATCTATAAAAAAATGTTTAATTTACTATTTTATTAAAAGATATATATATATATATAATTATTTATAAATAATTATTATTAAAAACTATGATTAATACTTGACAATAAAATGATAAAATATTTAATATCAATATTTTAGTTTTTTATAAATATATAAAACTTAATTAAATTGAATTGAATTATAATTTATAAAATATATAAATACAAAATTAAGTTAATTAAATTAGTATTGATAATAATTAATTAACATGTAAATTTTGGCATATGTTTTAGCAATTATCACAAAAATTATTTTTATTTTCTAAAAATCTATAAAAAATAATTAGTAGTTAATACCGGTAAACAAAACAAAAAATAATAATTAAGATTATTATGTATTATTTACAATATGTTTAATAATTTATTTTTTGAAAATAACAATAAAATATAACTTGATTAGATTAATGATAAAACTTTATTATATAAGCTTGATTATTATTATAAAACTTTAACTAATTATTTACTTTTTTTAAATGTAAAAAAATCTATTTGTTTAAAATGAATATAATTCTAATATTATTAGTTTTAATAGCTAATTGTAAGTATTTACACTAAATAATAATTAAAATTTATTAATTAATTAATTTTAAAAAAATTATAATTTAGTTTACTATACTATTGGTGATAAATGCATTGCCGGTTGGGACACATTTGATGATCAACTAAAGTGTATTAAAATAATCAGCGATTCACTGGAAACTTATGCTAATGCTGTTGAAATGTGTGCAAATCTGGCTCAGGGATCAACACTATTGACAATACACTCTCAAAAGGAACAGGATTATTTTGCTGACTATCTATATGTCCAACATAAACTAGTTGAATCAATATGGTTGGGTGCTAAAGTCAAACAAACAATAATGACCTGGATGGATAATACTAATGTTACCTATAGTAATTGGTTAGATGGTAGACCGAGTAACATTAGTGATGTTGAATGTGTGGAAATGCTAGCTGATCCTCAGCAAGGTAAATGGGATGATCTGGCATGCAATAAACGTAACCAGGTTGTTTGCCAGTCGATGCAATCGATGCCAGTAAGTGATCTGGAAAAATTTAAATTAGAAACTAGGAAATATGCCGTAGATCAAATTAATAAATTACAAATTGAATTAGCCAGTCAAAAAGATGAGCTAGATAAATTGAAATCAAATCCCGTTCCCTGGGGTTTATATATACTCAGCTGGCGGACAACCAGAACCCAGTCAATTGTGGCCAGGGGTTAAATGGCAAGATGTTACCACCGATTACGCGGGATTGTTTTTCCGGGCCGAGGGTTCAGGTTCCGAACCATTTGGTCAGCCTATTGGTCCCGATTGGCTGCAGTTAGTGCGTATAGGTATTCAGTTAGCACTGTCACTGATTTAGGATATCGTTTAACTGATTTACCCGCTAACGGTTGGAGCGATGATATTAATAATTGGTTTCCTCTGGAAATGCATTTATATTTTACTGAATCGGATAATAGGCCCCGAAATCAAGCCATCAGACTATTTAAACGCATTTAGAGAATTGATGTGAATTAAATAAATCTAACAAATTTATTTAAAATTAATATATATTTATTAAAATTAAATTATAAATATAACTTAAATTTTAAATAAATTATTTAATTAACATGAAAAAATATGTATATATTAATATAGAATAGTATAAATATTTGTATTAAATAATAATATCTCTTAAATAATTATGAAAAACATTTTAAGTTACTTTAAAAAATAATAAATTAATAAGATAAAATAAATTAGTACTTATGTGTTTAATAATATTATATTTATTTTATAAATATTTAATTTATACTATCTTATTTTATAAAAAAATATATACAGTGACATTAATTTTAATTTAATTTATAGTTTTTAGTAATTAATAAAAAATGCATTTATTAAGTTTATTAGATATTTTAAAAGTTAAATGAAAATAAATATTTCAAATATTATTGAAACTTTTTTCAAATATCAATCGATTTAGAAGTTTATAATTATTTTAATATAACTATAAAAATTAAATAATAATAAGTATATTTGAAAGCATTTATCTTAATATAATAATTTTGTTATATATAGATAAGTATTAAATAGTTATTAATTTTATTTACTTTTTTATACAAACACTTATTAATTGATTTAATATAATACACTTATAGATAATTAGTAGCTAATAAATACTAAAGTAAAATATTTAATCTTATTTTTTAATAATATTTTTTTTTAATTATCACTAAGTAATTATACAATTAACTAATTAAGTTTATATTACTAATTATTATATATCGATTATATATTTAAATGATAATTTTATTATCTTGAAGTTATAGTTATAAGTATTTAATAAATAGTTTAATTAGTAATAAAAAAATAATAACTAAATTATTTTGAAGATATAATTGACTATTAGAAATAAAAATTATCACATAATATATAAAAAAGTATTAAAAAATGCTTAATAGAAAATTAATTATAGATATTTAAACTTTGACTTTTTGTTAAAAATTTAGTTAGATAAAATTAAGTATATAAATACTGTAATAATAAAAATAATTACTTTTAATTAAAAAATTATTTTAGTAAAAAATTGAAATATATTAAAATATGAATTTATTTATTATTTTTATATTATTTATAGTTAATAATTGTAAGAATTTTTTTTATCAAAATTTACAAATAATTTTTTTTAATTATATTTTTTTTAATCAGTTAACTATTTAGTCAGTGAAAAATGTTTGGCCGGTTGGGATGCATATGACGATCAACTAAAGTGTATGAAAATAATAGACGATTCATTTGATACATATGGCAATGCTGTAGATATGTGTGCAAAGCTGGCTCCGGGATCAACACTGTTGACAATACACTCTCAAAAGGAGCAGGATTATTTTGCTGACTATCTATATGTCAAACATAAACTGGTTGAATCAATATGGTTGGGTGCTAAAGTCAAACAAACAATAATGACCTGGATGGATAATACTAATGTTACCTATAGTAATTGGTTAGATGGTAGACCGCGTAACATTAGCGATATTGAATGTGTGGAAATGCTAGCTGATCCCCAACAAGGTAAATAGGATGATCTGGCATGCAATAAACGTAACCAGGTAGTTTGTCAGTCGATGCAATCGATGCCCGTAAGTGACCTGGAAAAATTGATATTGGAAACTAAAAAATTTGCTCAAGATCAAATAAAAATACTAAAAGATGAAAATTCTAGACAACAAGATCAATTAACTAATCAACAAGATAAACTAAATAAACAACAAGATCAATTAACTAAACAACTAGATAAGCTAGATAAATTGGAACAAAATCCCGTTCCCCTGGGTTTTATATACGCCCAACTATCTGGTCAACCCGAACCATCAGCTATAATGGCCACAAGTTAAATGGCAAGAAGTAACCACCGATTATTCGGGATTGTTTTTCCGGGCCGAGGGTTCCGGTTCCCTACCGTTTGGTCAGATACAGGCGGCTAACTGGTCCCGATTGGCTGCTGTTAGTGCGTATAGATATGATGTTAGCGTAGTCACTGATTTAGGATAGCGTTTAATTGATTTACCCGCTAACGGTTGGAGCAATGATATTAATGATTGGTTTCCAAGTTATATGTCCTTATATTTTACTGATACGGATAATAGGCCCCGAAATCAGGCCATCAGACTATTTAAACGCATTTGAATTTAATTGAATTTAATTCAAATAAATATTTAAATTAATTACTAATTATTATTATAAACTGTAATTTAACATAAAAAACTACTAATTAAAACTACTAATTAAAATGATAATTATTAATATAATGCTATTATTTATTAATACTATATTTTAACAAAACAATTTTTGTTTTAATTTTTTTTATTAATTAAGTAATTATTATTATATTTTTTGTTGAAAATATTTTTTTTATTATAATAAAAATAATTTTTGTTTTAAATTTTTATATAACATTGTTTATTTTTTGAAAAAAATAAATGTCAAATATATTTATATATTAAATTAATCCTATTAATCTAATCTAATACCATGTAAAAATTAATTAATTAATTATTATTATTACTAGTATATATTGTATTATATAAGTAAAATTTATTGTTAAGTATTGATTAAAATTTTTACAATTAATTTAACAAACTATACTATACTTTATATTATGTTATTATTTTGCAATTTTTACTAATTAAATCATCAAGGAATTTTTTTTAACAAAATGGATCAACAAACTAGACATACAAAAAAATTTAAATTTATATTAATATCAATGATTTATTTGGGAATGTTTTTAATAGTATGTATTTTTATTTATATTTTTTAATTAATTATTTATAATTAAAATTATTAATTAATTAATTATATTAAATATCTAGACAATTGCTGATAGTATGTTTAGTTTACTACTAACCGATTTGGCCCATATATACGGCACCGACATATCCGGCTTATCCGATATAATGTCAATCTGTACCAGTATTTCACTGTTGGGTTTCATATGTAAGTAATAATTTTTTTACTAATTATTTATTTAATCATTTATTTATAAAATTATTATAATTATATTATTATTAATAAAGTCTAATAAATTAATAACTATAATTTAGATTATTAGTAATAATTAATTAATTAATTTACTAATCAATATTATAATACTATTATGAACTTTAAAATATTTATTAGTATATATATATATATAAATTATTTTAAATTTTTTATTATAAATAATAATAAATTCATATTAATTGTTTTCTTAAATATATAGTAGTTTAACTTATCTATTTATATATTTTTATTCAAACTTAATCTAGGTAATTTAATATCCCGGTACACAAATAAACAATTAATATTTTCAATACTATTACTAATGAGAGGCATAACAGTTGGACTGATAGCTAGTCTACCATCGCTTAGCTATTTTGCTATTGACTTAGCATTATATACAGTATTAACTGGTGGACAGTTATCGCTGGCCAGTTTATGGGTAATCGACATATGGGAAGCTAACTGTTCCCTGTATTTGCTGGTATTACAAATATTTATCGGTTCGGCATCAATAGTATCGCCACTAATAGTACAACCGTTTCTATCAAATATCGATTGGACTAAAAATGATAATAATAATTATCAAACAATTGATCATGATCAATTGCAAACAACACATATACCATTTATAATATTTGGTTCAGCTAGTGTTGGAGCTGGCTTAATTATATTAATTGTGTTTTTAATTAAACCATATAAAGGTAGACAATTACCTGCTATTGTAAATGATAATAATAATGATAATAATAATAGTAACAGTAATAATAGTTATAATAATAATAGTGATATTAATAATAGTAATAATAATAATAGTTATAATAATAATTGTGATAATAATAATAATAATAGTGATACTAATAATAATAGTGATAATAATAATGCTATTAATACTAATAATGTTATTAATAATAATAATACTATTAATAATAATAGTAATAATATTAATGTTAAAAATATTAGCAAAAATAAAACTATTATTAAACAATTTTTCCGACAAATCAAAATTGAATTAATACCCAACAAATTGACCGGGCTAATCAATTTACTAATGCTAGTATTGTTTCTATTAGCTAGTTTAGTTATCAATAGTTTTCTAGTATACTATCCAACCTATGCCCACGTATATGGCCGGGCTATTGACGAGCACCTGGCTACTATGATGATAACTGTATTCAACCTATGTCAAGTTGCTTGTCTAGTCCTGGGTGTACTACTAGTAGCCACTAGGGGGGTGCCAGCCCAATATATATTGTTAATATTACAGGTACTGGCAATTAGTGGCTGTATAGTTATTTGGTCCAACAATAGGGCCAGTTATCTATGGTCGGGTAGTGTATTGTTTGGCTTGAGTATTGGTCCATTGGGTCCCAATCTGTACAGTCTATGGGAATCGATAACACCAGTTACCGATTGGCAGGGCATCGGTATACAACTAGTTGGTACCAGTGGTGCACTGTTAGCCAATATATTAATTGGCAAAACTATTGAATCCCATCCATTAGTATTTATCTATTTAATGTTAGCGTTATCAGGGTCAATATTTTTGTTAATCCTACTGGTTGCTATATTGAAATGTAAATTGACAACACCAAGGTGATAATAATAATAATCTTAACAATAATAATAATACTAATAATAATACTAATAATAATACTAATAATAATACTAATAATAATACTAATAATAATACTAATAATAATACTAATAATAATAATAATACTAATAATAATACTAATAATAATACTAATAATAATAATACTAATAATAATACTAATAATAATAGTAATAATAATTGTAATAATAATACTAATAATAATTGTAATAATAATGTAATAATACTTTAAATGATAACTTTAATACTATTATGTAATAATACAGTAGTATATTGTGACAAAAATTGTTTTTTATTTTTTTTTTGATAATTTAAGTAATTGTTTTTATTTAAAATATTTTCATGTAATAATAATAAAGTATAAATAAAATAAATATTTGTTAAATACAGCTTCCAATTGTTTAATTTGAATTTATTTATCATTTATAAATTATATATAATAATTAATTGATAAGTAATTGATTGAATAATTTTTTTTAAATAATAAATCTAATACTATAAATTGAATTACTAATGAAAATAATTTAAGTAAATTTAAGTTTTTTTTTTAAAAAATAGTTTTTAATGTAATAATAATAATAATTTGAAAATAATTAAAACTATATACTATATATATATATATTATATATACAGTATGATAGCTCACATAGGTTTGATAATAATTTTTTTTTTAAAAAAAACTATACTATTATTTTGTCTATTATTTTGAATATTTAATTAAATATTATTTTTAAAAATTTAATTAAAGAACTAGTACATTTTTTGTTTGTTTTGTAATATAATTTTTTATGTTTATTGGAAATAGTGCAATAATATTAACAATGTTAAAAAAAATTTATTACAATTAATTTTTTCAATATTATTTTTTTTTGTGCAAATAATGTTAATATAAATTTTATTATAATTATCATATTATTAGTATTATTGGTTGCGTATTAGTTTAATGCACAGAAAAAAATGTTTAATAATTGGCTATAAATTATATTTATAGACTAAAAATATTTGCTATTATTTTATTAATTTTTATAAATTATAAGTATTAATAGTTTATTAGTTTATTAAATAACACAAAAAATTATAATAATAATTACATTTTAATTATAATTAATAAGTAATTAATAGTACAAGTGTTGCAATTTTTAATTATTATTTTTTTGAATTGCATTAAATAAAAAATATCCTAAAATATTTTTTTTATAAAATGTAATATTTTTCTATAAATACATGTACTATAGTATGTTTTAAGTTTTATAATTTAATAATGATCAGTGTCAATTATTATTTAATTGTAAAGGTGTAACTAATAATTGTTAAACATATTAGTTATTAGTTGATAAGTAAATATTAATTAAAAGGTCTAATTATATAAAATTTGTTAAATATTTTTTTATTAAATTAAATTAATTTTTTTATTTATTTATTTTACTTTATATATTAATATAAAAACTATTTATTAGTTTACTATACATTGGGTGATAAATGTCTGGCCGGTTGGGACACCATATATGATGGTCAACAACAACAACAAAAATGTATCAAAATATTAGGCAATTATTCACTGGAAACATATCCAAGTGCTCGGTATATGTGTGCACAGTTGGCTCCGGGATCAACATTGTTGACAATACATTCACCCGGGGAACAGGACCTGTTGAATGACTATCTATTTAATCAACATAAACTAGTTGATTCCGTATGGTTAGGTGCCCAGGTTAGACAATATGAATTGAGCTGGATAGATGGTAATACTAGTAATAGCACCTATACTAATTGGTGGCCAGGTAGGCCAAAAAATTCAACCAGTACTAGATGTGTTGAAATGCTAGCTGAAAACAATATAAATAATAGTAGATGGTTGGATACTGATTGTAGTAAACGTAACCAGGTAGTTTGTCAAATGCAACCCATAAGTGATCTAGATCAATTACAATTAGAAAATAGGAAATTGGTTGATAGTTTAGCTAGGAAATTATTGGAACAAACTAGCCAGCTCAATAAACTAGCTAGTAATTATATTCAACAATCAAATCAGCTTAGTGAACTAGGTGGCAACTATACTAGACAACAATCGCAACTAGCTCAATTAGCTAGCGATTATAATAAACAAAAATCGCAACTAGCTGAAGTAACTGGTAACTTAACTGATAAACAAAATCAACTAGATGAACTTAGTAGTAACTATACTAAACAACAAAATCAACTAGCTACAGTAACTAGCAATCTAGCTGAAAAACAAAATCAACTAGATGAACTTAGTAGTAACAATACTAAACAACAAACTCAACTAGCTACACTAGCTAGCAACTATATTGAACAACAAAATCAACTAGCTGAAGTAACTAGCAACTTAACTCAAAAACAAAATCAACTAGATCAACTAACTAATCAATATACTAAACAACAAACTCAGCTAGCTGAATTAGCTAGCAACAATAGTAAACAACAAACGCAACTTGCTGCATTAGCTAGCAATAATATTCAGCAACAAAATCAGCTAGCTACACTATCGGGGCACTATACGGAACTGGTAGCTAATCCCGTACCCCTGGGTTTTATATATACCCAACTATCGGGTCAACCTGAACCCAGTCAACTATGGCCAGCAGCGGCGGTTAAATGGCAAGATATTACCCGTGATTATTCGGGATTATTTTTCCGTGCCGAAGGTCCCGATTCTGCCGAGTTTGGTCAAATACAGTCGGCTAACTGGTCCCGATTGGCTACAGTTAGATCTAGACGGTGTTCAGTGTCGGCTACCAGACAAACTGATCGGGGTTGGCATCAAACTGAATTACCCGCAACCGGTTGGTCCGACGATATTATGGACGGTTTATGTTCGGCCGATATGTCCTTATATTTTACTGAATCGGATAATAGGCCCCGAAATCAGGCCATCAGACTATTTAAACGCATTCAATGATTGACTGATTGATTGAATTAAATAAAACAATAATACTATAATATTTTCTATGTTATAATTATTTTATAAACTTAGTAATTATAATAATAATTGTATTTTTTATTTTTTTAAATTTATATACACTGTTAATTATATTGTTGTATTTTATCAATAAATTAAGTTTAATTAATAAAATATTGTATTTATTGATATTTTGTTTATAAATTTTTTTTAATAAGTTAAATACATTATTTAGCAAATTATTATCTAAGTACTGTACTTTATTTGATAATATTTAATTAACATTTAAATTTAGACATATGTTTAATAATAACAAATAAAATAAATAATATTAATCAATATAAAAATTTAGCTAATTTAATCTAGAAAGTATGAATTTAATTTTAAATGTAAAAATAGTAAATAATATATAATTTAAAATAATATATATATATATTGTTGATAATAATAGTTAAATAAAAAAACAGTATTGATAATTTATAATTAGCATGTAAATATTGACATATGTTTAATAACAACAATAAAAAAATCAGCAACTTATTTTTTTAATAAAAGTATTTTAATCAATTACCGGTTTACTTATAGTTAAAACAATATAAAATAAACTTAATAGATAAAATTTAGAAATTAGATTAACAATATTATTTTTATTAATTAAGTAAAATTAATCAATAAATTATTAGTCAACTTTATTTATTAATAATAATATTATTTATTATATTATTAGTTAATATTAGATAAAATAAACATTAATTAAGATAAAAATGTATTATATACAATATGTTTAATAACTAAAACAAAATAAAAAAAACATATTTAATTAAGATTAATTTTCATATATAAATATAAGTTATAATTAAAAATTATTGTTAAAAATATATTTTCAAAAAAAAAACAAATTAAAATATAATAGTTTTATTTATAATGAATTTTATTCTAACATTTAGTTTTATAGTAATTAATTGTAAGTACAGTATTATATAATTACTTAAATAAAAATATATATTTTAATAGTATTTTTGTTTTAAATAAATAGTTTACTATACTAGTGGTGATAAATGTTTGGCCGGTTGGGATACATATGATGATCAACTAAAGTGTATCAAAATAATAGACGATTCATTTGATACATATGGCAATGCTGTTGATATGTGTGCAAAGCTGGCTCCGGGATCAACACTGTTGACGATACACTCACAATTGGAACAGGATCATTTTACTGACTATCTATACGTCCAACATAAACTAGTTGATTCAATATGGTTGGGTGCTAAAGTCAAACAAACAATAATGACCTGGATGGATAATACTAATGTTACCTATTCAAATTGGGCAACTGGTCGACCACAAAACATCAGTGATGTTGAATGTGTTGAAATGCAATCGGAACCGACATCCCTGGGTAAATGGTTGGACATTGCATGCAATAAACGTAACCAGGTTGTTTGCCAGTCGATGCAATCGATGCCCGTAAGTGATCTGGAAAAGTTGATATTAGAAACTAGAAAATATGCTCAAGATCAAATTAAATTACTAAAAGATGAAAATTCTAGACAACAAGATGAGCTAGATAAATTGAAGTCAAATCCCGTACCCGCGGGATTTATATATACCCAGCTAGCTGGTCAACCCGAACCCAGCGAATTGTGGCCAGGAGTTAAATGGCAAGATGTTACCTCCGATTATTCGGGTCTGTTTTTCCGGGCCGAAGGTTCGGGTTCCGAACCGTTTGGTCAGATTCAGGCGGCTAACTGGTCCCGATTGGCTGCTGTTAATACACATAAATGGGCAATTAGTGATCCAACTGATACTGTATATGAGTTTACCAATTTAGAAAATATAGGTTGGAGCGATGATATTATTAATGGTAATTTTCCGAATGAAATGTATCTATATTTTACTTCAACGGATAATAGGCCCCGAAATCAAGCCATCAGACTATTTAAACGCATTTGAATTTAATGAAATAATTCTAAAAAATAGTTATTTTTTATTAAAAAAATCATAAACAAAAAAAATAAAATCCTATTAATTATTTTATATAAAGTAGATATATTATAATAGTAAGAATTTATGATTTATGATAAAAAAAAAGTTTTAAAAAACTTTTTAAAATAAGTTTAAAAATTTAATAGATATATTGATTAGTGTTTTGTTTTGATTTTATTTATAAAAAATATAAATATTTTCATCATACAACTACTACTATTGCTATTCAAATTTTTTAAAAATTTAATTATATTTTATTGTTAAACTAAAAATCATATAGAAATTAATAATTGATAAAAAATCGATAAAATTTTTTTATAATTAGTTAATTTAGGTAAGCAATTAATTAATAAAGATTATTAATGTACAGAATAATTTGTAAAACAATAAAAAAAATTGATAATCATGAATAGATTAATAATTTAAAATATTTATAATTAAATTAATGACAAAATTTTAAATCTAAATAATTTAAATAATAGTTTTTTCAAATAATGAATAAAATTATAATATTGATTGCTTTAATATTTAATACTAAATATAGTTTATAAACTATTAATAAATAAGTTAAAAAAACAATTTTAGTATATTTATGTGATTTAATCACTTAACACAAAACTCAATGATTTAATTTTAGTATAATATTTTTACAATTTTAGTGGAGATAAATGATTAGCCTGTTGGAAAACATTGTTTTTAAATAAAATAATTAAACAGAAAAGTAAATCATGTATTTATTTATTTGATAAATATTTCATCATTTATTAAACTAAAAAATTGATTAATTTCAAATTTTTAAAAAATATTAATAAAATACAACTTAATGTAATTAGTGTATATAATTATAAAAATAAAATACAATTATTATTATTATTATTACTTAGATTAATAATTATAATTACTAGAAAATATTTTATAATATTGTTTTTATTTATTTAATTATTTATTATAATTCAATCAATCAATCAATCATTGAATGCGTTTAAATAGTCTGATGGCTTGATTTCGGGGCCTATTATCCGATTCAGTAAAATATAAGGACATATCGGCTGAACATAAACTGTCCATAATATCCGGTGACCAACCGGTTGCGGGTAATTCGGTTTGTAGCCAACCCTTATCGGTTACACGTCTGGCCACCACTGAACACCGTTTAGATCTAACAGTGGCCAATCGGGACCAGTTAGCCGCTTGTATCTGACCAAACTGGCCAGAATCGGGACCTTCGGCCCGGAAAAACAATCCCGAATACGCTTCGGTAATATCTTGCCATTTAATCGGTGCTGGCCATAGTTGACTGGGTTCAGGTTGACCAGCTAACTGTGTGTATATAAAACCTAGGGGTACGGGATTAGCTACCAGTTCCGTATAGTGCCCCGATAGTTCAGCTAGCTGCGTTTGTTGTTGAGTATTGTTGCTAGCTAGTTCATCAAGTTGCTGTTGTTGTTCACTATTGTTATTAGCTAATTCAGCTAGCTGCGATTGTTGTTTAGTATAGTTGCCAGTTAATTCATCTAGTTGATTTTCTGTATTAGTTAAGTTGCCAGTTACTTCAGCTAGTTGCGTTTGTTGTTCACCAATATTGTTAGCTAAATCAGCTAGTTGCTGTTGTTGTTTAGTATTGTTACTAGCTAATTCATCTAGTTGATTTTGTTTTTCATCTAGATTACCAGTTAATGCAGCTAGTTGCTGTTGTTGTTGTGTATAGTTACCAGTTAATTGATCTAGTTGATTTTGTTTATCAGTTAAATTACCAGTTACTTCAGCTAGTTGCGATTTTTGTTTATTATAATCGCTAGCTAATTGAGCTAGTTTAGATTGTTGTTTAGTATAGTTACCACTAAGTTCACCAAGCTGATTTGATTGTTGAATATAATTACTAGCTAGTTCATTGAGCTGGCTAGTTTGTTCAAATAATTTCGAAGCTAAACTATCAACTAGTTTCCTATTTTCTAGCTGTAATTGATCTAGATCACTTAAGGGTTTCATTTGACAAACAACCTGGTTACGTTTACTACAATCAGTATCCAACCATCGACTATTGTTGATATTGTTTTCCGATTGCATTTCCACACATCTAGTACTGGTTGAATTTATTGGCCTACCTGGCCACCAATTAGTATAGGTGCTATTATTAGTATTACCATCTACCCAGATCAATTGATGTTGTCTAACCTGGGCATCCAGCCATACGGAATCAACTAGTTTATGTTGCTGGAATAGATAGTCATCCAACATCGACTGTTCCCCCGGTGAATGTATTGTCAACAATGTTGATTCACCTACCCGAGCCAACTGGGCACACATTGCCCGGGCACTGGCATACGGTGCTAGTGCTGTACAATTTTCCAGTGGATTGTTGACAACTATTTTGATACATTTTGGTTGGTGTTGTTGACCGTCATATAGGATGTCCCAACCGGCCAGACATTTATCACCCAATGTATAGTAAACTAAATATTTTTATAGTAATAAATAAATTAAAATAAATAAATAAATTTAATTAAATTTAATTAACAGTTTTTTTTTTGTAACTGCTTTTATATATACTTTTATACGTACAATTAATTACTATTACAGTTAATATTAGAAAGATATTCATTATAAATAATTATTTTAAATTTAATTAATTTATAATAAATATTTATATATTATTATTTTTCAATTTTATTTTTTTAACTAAAAAAAATCTATTACATTTATTTAGCTAATTAATTTTTTTAAATAGTAACTAGCTAAGTATAGTAATTTAGATTTTTTTTTAAATTACTAGTATTATTAGTTTATTACACGTTTACAATTAAATCATTAAAATGATAATAATTGACACTGATCATTATTAAATATTAAAACTTAAAACATACTATATAGTTCATGTATTTATATAAATTTTACACTTTATTAAAATTTTTTTTGATATAATTAATTTAATTCAATTCAAATAAAAAAATAAATAAAAATTCCAACACTTGTACTATTAATTACTTATTAATTATAATTTAAGTTTAATAATTATTATTTTTATTATTTGTGTTAATTATTAATGTTTAATACTAATAAACTAATAAACTACTTATAATATATTAAAAATAATAAAATAATAGCAAATATTTTTAGTCTATAAATATAATTTATAGCCATTAATAAACATTTTTTTCCGTGCATTAAACTAATACTCAACTAATAATACTAATAATAAGTATAATAATAAAATTTATATTAACATTATTAGCAATAAAAAAAATATTGAAAAAATTAATTTTAATAAAAATTATTTTTTTAGCATTTTTAGTACTATTGTATTTATAATAAACATTATAAAAAATTATATTACAAAACAAAAATATACTAGTTTTTAAAAATAATATTTAATTAAATATTAAAAAAGACAAAATAATAATAGTTTTTTTTAAAAAAAATATCAGACTATTTAATTATTTTCAATTTATTATTATTTTTATTATTACATAAAATTTTTAAAAAAATAATTAATTTACTAATTTTTGCTGAAATTAGATTATCATTAGTAATTCAATTAATATATTATTAAATTTCTTATTAAATAAAAAAACTATTCAATCAATTACTTATCAATAATTATTATACAAATTTATAAATTCAAAATAAATTCATAAATAAACAATTTATTATAGATTTGATTATATAATTAGATAATATTTTTTTTTAATCTTTATATTTTTTACGGATTTCTATTTAACATTTATACTTAATTTTAAAAGATATAATACATTAATAAATATTAATAATTATTATCTAATTATGAAATGAATTGAATTAAATAATTTAAAAAAATCAAATCAAAACAATAATAGTAACAAAAATTAATATTAAATTTTTAATACTATAATTCAAGTAGTATTGAAAAAATAAATATATTGCTTTTTTATTAATATAAGTTTATGTATTTTATAGTTTATATAACTAATTAATTGCTTAAATAATTATCAGTTCATATTTGAGAAAAATATAATAATAAAATTTTTAACACTCAAATTATTAAGATATTAATAAATATCTTATTTTTATAATCAATTAGTAATCGACTTTTTGAAACTAAATTGAAGTTAAATTAGTAATTAGTGTAATCATTATTATTGACATTTAATTAAGTAATAAAATTATAATTATATATCACTTTGACATTTTAGCTATCAATTAATCATTAATAATAATTGATTAATTTTTTTTTTAGTATATAAATATAATAAGTTAAGTAAAAATAATATAATTGTTTTAATAAATAATAAGTCAATAAAAAAAATAATTATGAAACTAATAATTTTAATTGTATTAATAATAAATAATTGTAAGTATAGTATAATTTAACATAAATTAAAAAAAATTATTTAAATTTTTAATTAAACTATAGATTATTATATTGAATGCGCCTACAAATGTCCGACTGGTTGGACGGCATATGACGATCAACTAAAGTGTATTAAAATAGTCAGCGATTTGATTGATACATACACTACAGCTGTGGACAGGTGTTCAAAGTTAGATCCCGGAGCTACACTATTGACTATACATTCGCAACGGGAACAGGACTATTTGAATGATTTGCTGTATGTTAAAAATAAACTGGTTGATACTGTATGGTTAGGTGGACAGGTTAAACTGGATACATTAACCTGGATAGATAGTAGCCCGGTTACCTATACTAATTGGCTTACAGGGGTCGGCCACATAACACTAGTGATGTTGAATGTTTCGGAAATGTTAGCAAACGGAAAAACCATGGTCTAAATGGTTTGACACTGTATGTAATAAACATAATATGATAGTTTGTCAATCAAATGCAATTGCAACAAATGTTAGTGAATTGGAAAAAATCAGATTTTAGAAATTAGATATTATACAAGAAAATCATGTTAAATAAATTGGAAACTATAGTTAAAAATCAACAAGATCAATTAAAAAAAATCAACAAGATCAATTAGTTAGCT